AAGAAAACACATAATTTTGTAGGAATATTACTGACATAAATTTGAATACCATACAGGAATTAAATATGAAAAATAGCGAGGTGTTTCTATTTTTATTACTCACAGATATGAATATTTTGTTCACATTTTATAAAATCGAAAAAAATGTTCTGACATCACAAACTATTCTTATTTTGTAAGTTCTGCATTCATTTGCTGCCATATAAACAAAAACATGTAATTTTGAAGGAATATTACGGTTGTGAATTTGATGCCGAAGCAGGATCGGCAAGTTTCATTTAATGTGTTACGAAAATGCTTAATTTTGTAGGAATGTTACTGACATAAATTTGAATACTGTACGGGAATTAAATATGAAAAATAGTGAGGTTCTCTATTTTTAATATGTACTAGATTTGAATATTTTGTTGACATGTGATTTTTAATTGAGGTATGAATTTGTCTGCTTAAATAACGATAGTAGTTACGCCCCTTTATTTTCGGTAAAATGTCCGACAAGAAAAATTTGAAATCCCATCACAGGTTTTAGGCCATCAAATTTGGGTCCTAGGCGAATTGGGCCTGGGACCAGGCGAACCACGCTTCATCCCCACATGTGGTGTCAAATTAACCAACATGACACCGTGAATGTTTTAAGTCATCCAATTTAGGCCTCGGGCATCTTTGGCATTGTGTGAATTTGGGCCCTAGACGATTTTGGGCCCCAGGCAAAGCCGGTTTCCTGCTAGTTATCTATACTTAGTATAAGCATAAAATGTTCAAGATCAAACTAAGTCAAGGTTTTGAAGTACCTGGTACTAGTAGTGAAACTATACACTAAGTTTCATAACTCACCGTCAGTTAGAACAAGCCAACAGTGAGACTGATGTCCCCCCCCCCCCCGAAATCCGTTCAAAAAACAGATGACACATAAACATTAATTGCACATTTATTTTTTTTCAAAGGTATCAAGCAATCAAACCGATCACCACCTATACACTAATTTTTATCACTCTCTATCAGATAGAATCAAAGTTATCTTGTTCCAAAGCATCAACCAATAAAATTGCTTAGCTTTAGCTTGAAATGTTAATCACTGAACTCAGTCAAGACATTCACCTAATGAACATCTACATCAAGTTTAAATATTCTACCTCAATTAAAAGCAGATCTGTTATGTTTCAAAGTCTTGACCAATCAAATTGCTTATCGATCCTTAGCCTAAGCAGAAAATACTCATCATCAAACTTAGTCAAGGTAATGATATAATGAATCTATACTCAAGAGTTTCATCACTCTCACTTTATCAAAACCAAAGTTATCGTGCCCCAAAACATCAACCAATCAGATTGCTTATCTCTGCTTATCTTATTTTGTAGGTTTTGATGTTTGATTACAAAAAACCAATGTTGACATTTTTTCTGAGTAGGTCTTCATAGTATGGGAGGCCATTATTTGAGGGTAGCCATTTTGCAATAATATTCCCTTTATTATTTTCACCTTATTTATAATGTTATCGACATATCAACTGTGATTTGGCAATGTATTAATATTGGCAGGGTTCATGACTATACTTCAGATTGTTTTCCATCATTTTATTATGATATTTCCAGGATGGCGACCATTTTTGGCGGGAAAATCGGATGATGTGCTGATTTCGATTAAGTAGTAGTGCTAGGTGTCAATATATATGTTTTCGGGGCCACAGATTCTATTCCTGACATTTACAACCTTGTAAAATGATCACATGTTCATATACTCAGCATATTTCCAAGATGGCGGTCATTTTTGGCGGGAAAATAGGACGATGAGTTGATATTGATTAAGTAGTCATCGTTGGTGTCAATATATATGTTTTCAAGGGCACAGAATCCATTTCGGTCATTAACAACTGTGTAAAATGATTATTTTGCACATTTACAATATGACGGCCATTTTTGGCGGGAAGATGGAACGATGTGCGGATATTGATTAAGTAGTCGTCTATTGTATGAGGATATATTTTTGGGGGAGCAGATTCCATTTTTGTCGTTTATAACTGTGTAAAATTATTACATGTTCACATATTTAGCATATTTCCAATATGGCTTTCATGTAGGACAGGAAAATGGGACAATGTGCTGATTTTGATTACATAGTCGCATTTTCGTGTCAATATTTCTTTTTGGGGACGCAGATTCGATTTTTGTCATTTACAACTGCGTGAAATGGTGGTATGTTCACATATTCAGCATATTTTTGTTTGTGGCAGGACGTTTTCTCAACACATTACTGTAAAGGTTTCTGAATCCAATTCTGCTATGTATAAGCTTGTAGCATGTTCCTGGAAGCCTGTGCCGAGTTTAACCATTAGGTATATCATCCAACAATGTAGTAGTTGAACTCCAGCGCAATATCATTCCACATGTTCGTTCTACATTCATCTTGGAAGTCAGTTGATAACAAAATCTATGTTACGAGGGCTTCTTAGCAAGTATTTCATTTACAGCCACGTCCCCACCACTATCATCCACGTTGCTGCCAGGCTGGAACGAAGCTCTTGGTCATATGCTTGCTACGCTGTTACAACTTTTATGTATATATAGGAAAGATACCGAGCCTCGTCCATCAGCTCCAGTCTAGCACCCAAAGAGGAAACCAAAAGAAAACTATGAAATGTTCTTGATTGCTTGACTATTGGTTGTCTTCTACTTTGAAAGTGAATGAGGACGGGTGAGCATGGCACAGTCTCTATAGAGAGAGAAAGAAATGGGGTTTAACGTCCATTTGACACAAACTAGGTCATTTCGGGACTAACATATGGTTCAATTTTATTTCAATAATTCGCTTGCGCGTAGGGGTTTTAGCAGTGGGAGGAAACCGGAGGATACGGAGAAAACCCACGAGGTTGGACAGGCGACCCTACTCCTTGTCACGTACAACCGGGGATTCGAAACCACGCCAGTTGACTCAATGACAGGTCGTATGATACAGCACGCACGTGCTAACCATTCGGCCATCCAACCCCCCTCAGTCTCTATAGGCGTGGCAAGAGAACGCCTTTAGCCTGGTAGGCACGTTACTGGAGTTTGGTGAGAAAGTATCCCAGTCTGACCGCGAGATCATGGTGTGAACACTTTTCACGCAGCCAGATCTTGGCCATGAGCGTAGAAAGATCTTAATTGTAGAAAGCGCTTGGTGTAGTCGTTGCAGGCGCATGATGGGCACGTGGCGTAAGCAAAAGGCTGCCGCTATGCTCTTTTTGCCTTCATGCCAGGAATAGGCTTTACTTTCCCAGGAAAATCGATGATAAATAAATGCTAATAATGTGTTTAGAAAACGTTCCACCATCTTGGAAATATGCTAAATTGGTCAACATACGACCATTTTACGTAGATGTATATGACAGAAATTGAATCTGCCTCCCTGAAAACATATATATTGTCACCAAAGACAACTACTTAATCGAAATCAACCCATCGTCCGATTTTCCCGTCACAAGTGGCAGCAATATTGGAAATATACTAAATATGTGAACATGTGATCATTTTACAAGATTGTAAATGTCGGAAATTGATTCTGCGCCCCCGTAAACATATATATTGACACCAAACACTACCACTTAATCAAAATCTGCACATCGTCTCATTTTCCAGCCAAAAATGCCCGCCATCTTGGTAATATGCTAAGTATATGAACATGTGATCATTTTACAAGGTGGTAAAGGTCAGGAATGGAGTTTGTGACCCCGAAAACATATATATTGACACCAAACACTACTACTTAATCGAAATCAGCACATCAACCGATTTTCCAGCTAAAATGGGTGCCATCTTGGAAATATCATCATGAAATGATGGAAAACAATCTGAGATATAGTCATGAATGCCGCCAATATTAATACATTGCCAAATCACAGTTGATATGTCGATAACATTATAAATAAAATAAGGTGAAAATAAAAAATAATTTGGAATATTATCGCAAAATGGCTACACTCAAATAATGGCCTCCCATACTATGAAGACCTACTCAAAAAAAATGTCAACATTGTTTTTTTGTAATCAAACATCAAAACCTACAAAATAAAGCTTATTCCACGATTTCTACCTGAAAAAACGACGGATTTCCATTAACGATCGGACTACAAGGCATTCACCTAATAAACACCTACGCCAAGTGTGAACATTCTAGCTCAATAAGAATGAGAGTTATTGTGTTCCAAAGTCTCGACCAATAAAATTGCTTATCGTTCTGCTTACCCTTAGCAGAAAATGCTCATTATCGAACTTAGTCAAGGTATTGATGTAATAAAACTATACACCAAGTTTCATCACTCTCACTTAATTAGAACTAAAGTTATCGTGTCTCAAAGCATCAACCAATCAAATTGCTTATCTCTGCTTACCCTAAGCAGAAAATGCTCATCTTCGAAATCCATCAAGGCATTGACCTAATAAACACCTACACCAAGTTTGAACATTCTAGCTCAATTAGAAAGAGAGTTATTGTGTCCCAAAATGTGTGATGGACAGACAGACCCATTTTAATAGTCTCCTGCTTTCTTCGAAAGGCGGGGGACAATCAAAGTTATCTTGCCACAAAGGCTAAGTCGAAAATGCTCATCTTCGACCTCTGTCAAGGCATTCACCTAATAAACACCTACACCAACATTCTAGCTCAATTAGAAGGAGAGTTATTGTGTCCCTAACAGTGTGGCGGACAGGCAGACTGGCCCATTTTAATAGTTCCCTGCTTTCTTCGCAGGTGGGGGTCGCATTCTCAAGCCAATTGTTGATGGACGGATAACATAATATTTCCACACTGAAATGTGGGCGCATAGAAATAAGGGATAATTTTTTTTACATAATTACAATATCACATACAGCTTCTTACTGATAAAGGTCTAAGATAAATTAGTAACGAAAGAAAAAGTAAACAATCTGAACAGATTATCCTCTCTGACCATAATAATGTGAAAATAGAAACCCTTGAAAGATCATGGTACCGGGTAAATAATAGCCATGAGATATAATACTCACACATTGTTTTTGGTATCAGACAATACAGTTCTAAATAACATAAAATAAATAGGAATAAATATTAAATCAATTTGCATTCTATTTTTCGCAAATTAGGTCATTTTGGGACTAAAATATGGTTTAATTTTATTTCAATAATTTGCTTGCGCGTAGGGTTCTTTAGCAGTGGGAGGAAACCGGAAGACTCGGAGAAAACCCACGAGGTTGGACAAGCGACCCTAATCCTTGTCACGTACAACCGGGGAATCGATACCACACCAGTTGACTCGATGACAGACTTTATGGTACAGCGCGCACGTGCTAACCATTCAGCCATCCAACTCCCCTACATCATCAACTTAATAACGTCCATGAAATGTGAAACTTAAATTACTAATTACTTAAATTTGTTAAAAAAAAACTGTACTATTTACTATTATCTATTTAATACTCACATTCTTGTTTTATCAAAACCATTCCTGGAGTAAAAATCAGTTCATATATATTTCCATGGGAACAAATTCCTCTTCTCATACATGTATTTTTAAAACAATTAAAGATGCATTATTCAAGAGCTAAATCTGCCTGTTATATAAATTATTAATTAGACATTTATTAACTTGCCAAGACCATAATCAACTTCATTTTTAAATGGATAATCTAGACTTTTTTATCATTATCGTAACAGCAGTAGCAATAACAATGTGACTACACTGTTCTGCAATCGACGATAACTCCGCTCAAAAGGAAGTAATTTGACTGAAATTTTTTAACGTATTTCCTTTTCAGTATGTATTTTTTAACTATTATAGGGAGAACTCTAAGCTCTTTATCTAATCTTACATAATGCATCTTTAAATAAAATAACAAAAAAACATGCTATTTTGTTATAGTGCCAGTGAATGTTCGATTATTTGGATTTTACTGTTCATTAATAATCAACTGCAAAGTATTGTGCTTTAATATATTTAATAATAACCTATACCCTTTTTTAAGTCTAATTACTTTCATTTTTTGGCAAAGTTGAGGTAACTTTGGAACAGTGCATCGCACAGCACAGAATATCGATAGGGTTTGCCATGAAAAGAATGCTTCACAGCAAAACTATAGCCTCTAAAACGTTCACAAGGTGTTTGACAATGGGGACATAACTCTAGACTGGAAGGTCACAGAATGCTGAAAATCAATAGGGTTCGTCTTCTCATGACCCCAATACTTCACACCAAATTTGAAAGAAAATAAAAATTATGTAATCTAGGATTCAACTGAAGGTCTGTACAGTTTTAGAAACTACCAGGTATTAAATTATAACAGACTCCTATATTATATTGGTTTATGCCATACATATCAAAAGATAGTTAAATGTGACATTGAGAGTATCTTCAAGGTTTTAGTAAATACTCAAAGGCTCTATCTTTCAAAAGTGTAATTATTTAAAAACACAACATGAAGTCAAGTGAAATATTAACATTGAGTCCAAGAAAATAGAAACCAGGATCACAGTATAGTGTTCTATTTAAAAGCTGATGACAACGAAGGAGTAACACAGGATAGTCACAGAAAAAAATACATTAGAAATTACAATGATTTATCATTACGATAAATGGATGAATGAATAAAGTTGTTGATGGATTTTTTCACCATTTTCTACAATCACAAAACATCACCTTATTCAATACTTTTATATATAACATATACATGTACACCAGTGATGGGATTTTACCCGTATATTCCGGACTTGTCCGAATCTTTTTTCGAAACGCCCAAAATTGTCCGACCGGGAATATGCCCTATCGGACATCAAGACATGGTGAATAATATTCAAATTCCAAAATTAATATAGTGTACTGAGTGTATAACTACCGTGCAACCCGATTATCGTTGATAATAGGCTGGATTGATTAGGTAATTAAGTGATTGACTATTTATCGTGTTATATCGTCTTACACACCTACCTTGATTAACTACTATTCTGCCTTGATTGGCTGAACTAATTCTTTATCGGACAATTCATCAAATCAATCCTGAACAGAAGTCATTGCTTCTCCTTTGTCGGACGATATATCAATCCAATAAGAGTGATTAGAAACTTATAATCTGATTAACCCGTGATTTCTCCATTGACCATTGTCTCACGTTTTAATCTCCTTTGTGTCAGACAATAACACGTAGAAATTAGTCATATATGTCACATATCCTGATAGTATATAACACCTCAAATCAACATACATTGTATCCGATAACTTGTCTGTGATATATTTTCGGTGGAAGCCGAAGTTAATTAAAGATATTTCACACACATGGCGCTTATAGAGTTCAGTAATTAAAATGAAAGTACAAATCTCGCAAGACACGTGAAATTAAGAGATGTATACGTGCTGAATCCAATACGCCTGATGTTCGAGAAAAGATTCTATTTTGATAGCATATTGTCGGATTTATGATCATATTTTGAAGGGGGTTTATGTCTATAAATAAATAAATAAACACGCTAAGAAATGTTGACGAATATTTCGATTGGAATGACGTAAGTAGTTAATTGTTTTAGACGATTGCAATTATTTAGAAGTTGGTTACACTCGCTCATTAGGGCGTCGTTAACTACGGTTTACGGTCAAATAAATTTCGGGATGTCATTTTTTTTACCTTCCATATATAAATCGAAACGGAGTATCAGACGAATGTCGGACTTTGCTGAAAAATGTACCGACGTATGACCAGAAAAATACGGTAATTTTGGGGGAGTTTGAAACAGATCGGCAGCAGTCGGCACGCTGCCAATTCTATAGTATTACGATCATACGATGTCATGTAATTTTGTAGGAATATTATTGACATAAATTTGAATACCGTACAGGTTTTAAACATGAAATATAACGAGGTGCACCTATTTTTTTTTTACATATGAATTTGAATATATTTTGTTGACACATGATTCTTAATTGTGTTTTGAAAACGTCTGCTTAAAATACAGTAAGAGTTATGCCCCTTTATTTTCAGGAAAAAATGTCCGACATGAAATTTTTTGAAATCCCATCACTGATGTACACGTTTGTAAAGTTCATCGAAGCACTTAATTGAATACAGTATTATATAAATATTTTGTAATAATAATAATACTATTGATAATAAACAACAAAATACAGCCACATATATAAAAACAAACAGAAAATATTAAACCAACCTTCTTGATCTGGAATGTGATCGGCGCCGGCGAGATCTTGATTTAGACCTTGATCTACGTCTTGACCTTGACCTGCGTCTTGATCTAGACGATCCTCTCTTTGATCTTGACGTACCTCTTTTAGAGCGGGATCTAGAACGTTTTGATCTAGACCGAGATCGTCTCCTTGAGCGTGAACGACTTCGACCTTTAGATCTGCTTCTAGATCGTCTCCTTGTCCTTGTACGAGATGAAGATCGGCTTCTCCTTGCTAATGAAACAAATTTGTAAAATTAAGTTAATGGTTAACAACATAATCATTAGGCTTCATTAACCCTGATGATAAGCTGTGATTGTTATGACACAGTGAACAATCTTACCACACATTAATAATAAGCTTTTAAGTCTAAAATGTTGGAGATGAAATCTGCATCAGGAAATTCTCCAAATTTGAAAATACATTTGAAAATAACCCAAATACTCTAAAAATAAAATATGTGGGAGTGAATAAACACCTACAATCTGCTGCAGCTGCAATCAATGAATGGGCTTCTTTCACTTTTTTCATAGCTTCTTCTATTTCTCTCTGTGATTCTTTTGCTGACTTTGACTGGGGTTTTATAATAGCAGCTGTAGAATGAGAAACTCTGAAATAAAAATACCAAGATAAATAAAAATACATGTATAATAATTACGAATTTAATGAAATTAATACCATATTTGTATGTAGGGAGTACTTACTAATTTTTAAGCACCACAAAATGCTAGAAAATATAAAAGGTGTTTGTCATTTTGTGCAGCACAGAATTACCTTTTTTCCGTATTAATCTTTTTCATACATGTCCCCAATAAAATTAATTATGTCTGGAAAAACTTTCAACACGGCTGACATTATGTTGGATACAACAAAAATCATTATTTCAAGGCCCACAGTAGGAATATTGGTTGATCTAGGGAAAATACACAATAAAGGAATCAATCTGATTCTATTAGTAAGTGCAGGGGTATTTCACCACACACAAACAACTACACAAGACAAATTTGTGGACAAGACACAATATGCAGAAATCACAAACACAGACAGTACATATCAGATCAATGGATCCTGGGGCTAGCCGGTGAAATGTAGTAAAAAGCGAAGTACAACTAAATGGCCTATGTCGTAGTGAGGAACATTATAAGCGTTTGAAAGAATTCAATTGTATTAATTACACAGTTAGGGCATAAGTCCTTATTTATACAAAACAGAGGAAAACAATACTGAATACAAGGAAGCAATCGGAAAATGTGCGACTAGCCTTGACAGCGGTTGTCTGCTGAATGACGTTACGTAAAGGTTGTAGTTTGCCAAATGACATCATGAGTTAAAAGTATGCGATGATCTAGTAATCTAGGTAAGATATGCCCACATTTTACAAGAGATGGATAGAGAACAAGCTAAAAACAAAAGCGATTTTTCGTACAATCAGGGGCCATAATCCAGAAAGTTATGGTCTGAAGTGCGCAAAAATTAAAAGAGACTGAGATCTTTGGGACATAAAACACATATTTTAAGTTTCATCAAAATCAGATAAAAATTGTGACCTCTAGATGGTCCACAAGGTTCGTATTACATACTTTTACACAATTTGCTCACAAAGAGCTTCCATTTTGTTGGGCAGTTTTGTTTTGATTTTCACGAAATTTGAACTGAACCATCAAAATGGTGGAATGATGATATATTTAAATGGTTTTTAAAATCGGATAAAAAATTGTGACCTCTAGAGAATCCACAACCTTGATATACCACATGTTTACACTATTTGCGTACAAGGGGTGGCCATTCTGTCTGGCAGTTTTGGTCCAATTTTCATGACATTCGAACTCAACCAACATTACAGTGTAACAGTGAAATATTTGAACGTTTTTTGTAAAATCGAATAATAATTGTGACCTCTAGAGGGACCACAAGTTAAAAGGTGATTCTTCGTACAATCAAGGTCAATAATTTAGAAAGTTACAATCCAATATGCGCGAGTATCGAAAGGAACCATGATCTTTGGGTCATAAACATGTATTTCAAGTTTCATCAAAATCAGAACAAAATTGTGACCTCGAACTTAACCAACAATACGGTGTAACAGTAATATATTCAAACATTTTTTAAATCTAATAAAAATTGTAACTTCTAGAGGGCCTACAAGCTAAAAACAGAATATTTCGTACAATCAGGGGCCATAATTCACAAAGTTACGATCCGATATACACGACTAACGAAAGGAACCAGGATCTTTTTGTTATAAACATGCAACAGTGTATTTCATTTTTTATCAAAATCAGATGATAGTTGTGACCTCTTAGAGTGTCCACAAGCTAAAAACGTGATTTTTGTAAATCAGGGGCCATAATCCATGAAGTTATGGTCCGACATATGCCAATATCGAAAGGAACAAAGATCTTTGAGAGATAGACCTATATTTCAAGTTTCTTCAAAATCGGATCAAAAATGTGACCTGTAGAGTGTCAACAAGCAAATTGTGGACAGGGACGACGGCATAATACGTCTACATGAAAATGTGGGCATATAAAAACTATCAATTTAGGAACAGATAGGTATTATTCAGCTCTTTAATTGCATAAAATATAATTAAGTCATACACCTATAACAAATGCAAACTAGGTATTTTGAAGAAATGGAACTACTCTTACTTAAGCTCCAAACAGTAACTCAATGTGCATAATTTACTCTACTACTGAATGTGTTATACCAGAAAACTATAGAGTTGTGTATATTTTGCAAAAATATCACTTACTGAATTGGTCTTCCCTGGAACATCACTCCATTGTATGTTAGTGCAGTCGCTACAGCTCTTTGATCTGAGAATTCAACAAAAGCATAGCGAATAGATGAACTTTCACCCCCTGCCATTCTTATATACTTTACTTCTCCCACTTGTGAAAAGAAACTCAACAGTTGTTCTGGAAGAACCTGGAAAGCATAGAACAATTTTAATTAAAAGCGGATTTAAGGATCATAAAATTTATCTGTAACTTATTAAAATATATGTGACATATATATTTCAATGAATGAAATGGTCTATTTAACTCTGTAAGCACTGCATGATCTTTGTTCCTATGGTTAATTAAAACCAACTGATAGAAATAAAAAAAAAATGGGGTTTAATTTTACTTTAATGCGCCGACTTTGGTAATAAAGACTGAACAATGCCATACAGTGTGCTATTAAGGAAATTTTGCCCAGACAGCAGCACTATGGCCTACTCTTATTTCAAATACCAACTGTCCAGGGATATTTTACATACATGCCAAAGTGTACATTAGACATTGCTTTTGCGTCCAATCCAAATGGGGGGGGGGGGGAGGAATGGCTAAATGATTAGTACGTGCGTATTGTATCATAAGGTCTGTCATTGAGTCAAGTGGCATGGTTTTGAATCCCCTGCTAAAGACCATTATGCGCAATGATTTATTGAAATAAAATTGAACCATAATTATGTTAGTCCGAAATGACACCATTTCTCTCTCTCTATCCCACATCTGAACAACTACCAACTCTAAGAATGTGTTTAATATTTCTCAAAAGATGTATAATAACATTTATAATTATAATCATTTATTCTTACTGCAGCTTCTAAATTTCCAACATAGACTGTTCTTCGTATTTCTTGTGTTTTACTGGGGTCTATAGAGGCTGGTAATGGAGGATATTGTGGTAGACCTAATGCTACTAATCGTGGATCGTATGTTGTTATCATTTGTTTACTACCCGATCCTACTTTCTGAAAAAAACAAATTTTCAAATAATAAATACACATGTACAAGTAGGATGATATACATTGTCTGCTTACTGTAAGCAGAGATAAGCAATCTGATTGGTTGATGCTTTGGGGCACGATGACTTTGGTTTTAATTAAGTGAGAGTGATGAAACTTTGAGTGTAGATTCATTATATCATTACCTTGACTAGGTTCGATGATGAGAATTTTCTGCTTAGGCTAAGGGGCAATAAGCAATTTGATTGGTCAAGACTTTGGAACATAACAACTCTGCTTCTAATTATGACCTTTACTTTCGATCTATGGTTAAGGCTATCAAGATCTCTTTTTAGCATGAACTTATATAACTTCAAAGAAAACTCATCATTTTTTGGCATTTCCAAGGATACCAGACAAACCAAGGTTTATGTGAACCGTAGGTTTCTTGGATTTGCAAATAGACTTTTGTTGTCATCTGCACCCTTTATTATCATGCTTTTGGGCCAGGTTTGGAACATAGTTGGTAACTTTGATGCTAGTTCACACACACAAACACACACACTGGACAGTCATTGTAACTTTCAAAATGCTGTCGGCTGTTTCTACTTCAAGTTCTATGCTATCATACTAAATTTTTCATCTGTAACCATTTTCCTTCATAAGAATTGCTATGTGGTCCCACTTGGCAACCTATTTGCCATTAAACAATATTTTAACTATTTTCCATTCAACGAAAACAAAATATTAAGTACATACACGCAAAATGTATCCATACGAATCGCTGCCTATTATTAGCTATTGAACCTTCTTATTTTCCATAAAGAAACTAAGTCTTTTAAGACTACATCTAGAAATTCCCATCTACAGTGGTAATTTCCCACGATCTCGAAGTCACACAGAAATCATCGCTTAGACGCTTACTATGAAAATATTAATAGGGTTGATTTTGGCACGTATTATGTGTAACCGGTCATGTAGGTCAATAACAGACATAATAATACACGGAAGTTGACTATGTCTTTTTACGAGTGATTAAACTACCCATGTAAACAAAGACACGTAATTTTGGGGGAATATTACTGGTGTGAATTTGACACAGGTACAGGTCAGCACGCTATTACGAAAACACGTCATTTTGTACTATTTGTAGGAATATCACTGACATAAATTTGAAAACTGTACAGAAATCAAATATGACAAAAAGCGAGGTGCACCTATTCTTATTACGTACAAATTTTAATATTTTGTTGACACATGATTTTTAATTGTGATCTGAATCCGTCTGCTTAGCCCCTTTATTTTCGGTAAAATTGTCTGACAAGATAATTTTTGAAAAGGCAACACTGGTTGGTATATAAAATTGATATTTTTGGGTCAATAATATGCAGTTTATCACTCCAAATAACAAAATATGTCATATCTTAAGAACGAAACTTACAGAGCTAGATTTAAAATGTGCATTTTAGACGCCCTTAATCTAATTAATTACATTTATGTAACCTGACAGTATGGCATCATTGGAAGTAATACCTTCATAGAACTGGCGCGATTTCAGGGTGCCTTGAAACATTACCATTCATGACAATGGCTTTTTCACAAAAATGTTATCTTGGGTATCAGTGCAATCGAGACACTGTGGCTGAGTTTTCTCAAAGCCATAGTCTGTATTATTTATTGTGAAGAAAAAAATTATACAGAACGATTTCGAATAGATATCTTGACAGACATTGCTTAGCAGTTCAGATATTAGGTATTTATTTTAACTTTTCTTACTACTCGCACCAATTTAAAAGTTTTGTGAGAACCTTCAATTGTCACTTTCCTAATGGATAACACTCCTTCACTTCTAATCCTAGTTATTTTCCACATAGCCAGGTCTGATATTTGCTATTTATCAAACATACTATGTTTTTAAGTTAGCTGGATACTGAATATTTTGAAATAATATAGGGAATAAAACTTACTCTAGAAACAACATTACTTGGCCATGTAGGAGCACCTGGTAACATACCAGCTACAGCTTGTGGTGTTAACTGTAAAGCAGTATTTTCATCTGGTATTTTACCTGTAAAATACAAATAGTATAAGGTTTGTCAACAATCATGCACATGTACATAATGTACTACTTCTGTAAACAGATTTGTTTTACTATCACTCAAATTTGTTAACATCACTAGACGGCTCAGTTTGTACAATTTGTCATTTGAAAGGTATTTGGTGATGCCAAAGAAGATTGGTTCCAAATAAAACTAAAGATAGGTTGCCAGGCAACAGAACATATGCCCACAGCAGCTAAATCGTCTAAGCAGTTGACAAGGGTTGTCGCATATTTATTCTTTTGAAAGAAATGGGAAAATTTACAAAGCACTGATATCAATTTCATACAGATCGAATGATAACTTTTGTTTATAGAACGCTCACAATGTTGCACAAGGGCCATACCTGTAGAAGTGTTTAACAGAAATTTCTGAAATTCAATAGGATTCTTCGTTTGATTAATGAAAATAATGCATATAAATCTTATACAGATCAGATGATAACTTTTTTGTCGCTAGAGCATTGATAAGGGGTTCAACAAAGTGAAACAAGGGCCGTAATTCTAGACGTGATTAATGGAAATTGCTGAATTTCAACAGGCTTCTCCGATTTACTGATCTAAATAAAGCATATAAATTTAACACAGACTGGATGATAACTATTCTGAGTGAAGTCTGTATCACTACAGGCCCAGGACTGTACAACACAGCAGACGCGTACGGCTAGCCCCCGATCCATTCACTTAATCTGATATGTACGTTTGTTTGTGATATCTATATATTGTGTCTTGTCCATAGTTTTGTTTTGTGTAATTATGTATGGTGCCATCCCCCTGCACTTACTTTAAGGTAAAACAAAGTGAAACAAGGGCTATATATCTAGAAGGAATTTACGGAAATTGCTGAAATTCAGTCTCACTAATGTAAACAACATATATAAATTTCAAAACGATGAGATAATAAATGTAGTCTGTTGAGTGTTCACAAAAAATTATAGATGAAGGCGACAGCAATATAAAATTCTTTTGTCAAAAATTCTGATATTAAATTTAACATTAATTATTTCTATATCCCATGTCAAGAATAGAAGCGGCTATCAATCCAGTATTTTCTAAATTTCTATTTAATTACCATCCATGACTGGCACAGCAATAATAGCTCTATCAATAAAGACAATGTTAGACAAATGTAATGCCACTCCAACTGATGTAGTATCATCAAATTCAACATAGCACACTCTAGCTGAAACTTCTACTTCAGATGTCCTAAATAAAGAGAAAAAAGATAACAGATTAAATGGAAAAATATACTAGGTTCACTCAGCTGCCAAGCTGGCTTAAAGTACATCATACAGATTTGTAAAAGTATATGTAGCCGAATTGACGGATAGAATTATCCCTTATCCACCTTTCCAGGTCGTTGGTTCAACCAAAACAGACACGAGAGAGAGAAAGAGAGAGAGATGGGGTTTAACGTCCACTCAACACAAACTAGGTCATTTTGTGACTAACACATGGTTCAATTTTATTTCAATAAATCGCTTGCGCATTGGTGTCTTTAGCAGTGGGAGGAAACCGGAGGTCCCAGAGAAATCCCCCACGAAGTTGGACAGGCGACCCCACTCCTTGTCGTGTACAACCGGAGAATCAAAACCACATCAGTTGACTCAATGCCAGACCGTATGATACAGCGTGCAGGTGCTAACCATTTGGCTGCCCAACCCCCCTTAGACATGACAGGAACACCACAAACCAGTTTATTTACAATACACAGAACAGGATCAAATACACAGAAAGAAGAAGAGCAATGAAATAATAAAATAACTAAATTAGCATATATATACAAAAGGGAGCAAGGTTAATACAAATACTATAAGTGATATAGAGAAATGGGGTTTAAAGTCCACTAGACACAAACTAGGTCATTTCGGGACTAACATATGGTTTAATTTTATTTCAATAATTCGCTTGCGCGTAGGCGTCTTTAGCAGTGAGAGGAAACCGGAGGACTTTGAGAAAACCCACGGGGTTGGACAGGCGACCCTACTCCTTGTCACGTACAACCGGGGATTCGAAACCACGATAGTTGACTCAATGACAGGCCTTATGATACAGCACGCACGTGCTAACCATTCGGCCATCCAACCCCCCACTATAAGTGATATACATGTACATGTAGCGTCTAATGGCTAGTAAACAATTGTACATATAAAATAGAGATATATTGCCTATTACAGGTAATAATGAAAAACATTTAGCACTATTAAACACATATTACAATACAAGCCAACAGTGAGGTTGATGTCCCCTGCCGAAATCCCAAAATAAATAGATAACACATATTAATTAATTGCACATTTATTTTTTTCAAAAGTATCTGCTTAGCTTTCGTTCGAAGTGTTAATCATTGAACTCAGTCAAGAGTCAAGACATCCACCTAATGAACATCTACATGTACATCAAGTTTAAACATTCTACCTCAATTAAAAGCAGAGAACTTGTTATGTTCCAAAGTCTTGACCAATCAAATTGCTTATTGCCCCTCAGCCTAAGCAGAAAATTCTCATCATCGAACTTAGTCAAGGTAATGATATTATGAATCTACACTCAAAGTTTCATCACTCTCACTTAATTAAAACCAAAGTCATCGTGCCCCAAAGCATCAACCAATCAGATTGCTTATCTCTGCTTACAGTAAGCAGACAATATATGTATATCATCGAACTCCATCATGGCATTCACATAATGAATTCTACCTCAATTACAAATTGCTTATCGCTAGGCGTACATAACTAACGTACAAAAATTAATTGGTGGCTAGCTTTTTTTTTCGCACGTATACAGTGAATGGCCATTTTGCTCAGTAATCCCAGCCAGAATTTGGCTATTTTCTAAATTTGCGTTAAAGTTTAAAATATTTGTTTTAGAACTGAAACACATTAACTATTAGTCAATCCCAACGCTAAAAACATCAACAGAATTAATTGTGTATATCTGAAATAGACCCGACCGACGCACAAAATAGTGCAATATGGCGGCCTCTATGTAGATGTTATTTTTGTGAAAAATCATTGAAAGAAGAGAGAACATGTTGGGAATGTACGAATTATATAGTCTTTATGGGTGCAGCGGACACAATGCTGAAGATAAACCTATTGTTTACAATGTTGACCCCATGACCCATTGACGCCAATGTCGTGACCTGTGATGTGTAGATCACGTGATATGGATATCATGGCTACTGACTGTGTCTGAGATACTTCTCCGCAGGTAGCGTGTCTCAGATGTTCAGAATGATCGCTAGGCTTACCCAGAGCAGAAAATGTTCATTATCGAACTTAGTCAAGGTACTGATATGATCAAACTGTACACCAATTGTCATCACTCTCACTTAATTAGAACTAAAGTAATCGTGTCCCAAAGCATCAACCAATCAAATTGCTTATCTCTGCTTACCCTCAGCAGAATTCTCATCTTCGAACTCCATCAAGCCAAGTTTGAACGTTCTAGATCAATTAGAGGGAGAGTTATTGTGTTCAAAGTCTAAGACAATCAAATTGCTTATCGCTCTGCTTTTCACTGAGCAGAAAATGCTCATTATCGAACTTAGTCAAGGTATTGATGTGATGAAACTATACACCAAGTTTCATCACTCTCACTTAATTAGTACTAAAGTTATCATGTCCCAAAGCATCAACCAATTAAATTGCTTATCTCTGCTTACCCTAAGCAGGCATTGACCTAATAAACACCCACACCAAGTTTAAACATTCTACATGTATCTCAATTAGAAGGAGAGTTATTGTGTCCCAAAAAGTGTCACGGACAGACGGGCGGATGGACAGACAGACAGACGAACCCATTTCAATAGTCCTCTGCTTTCTTCGAAAGGCGGCGGACGATAATGAAATAGAAAACTGACTATAACAGTATAAACATACCCTGAAAGAGGTGCTCTTATGAAACGAAGAAATAGAGGAGCTATATATTGTGGAAACCATATACAAAGGATAAAGGTTAGTTAATTTGGTGCTTTAACAAAGATAGAGAAACTGATGCATCCAGGATGGAGATTTAGTAAAAAGTGACTCAAGGAGAAACATGATGTTTGCATAGTATTTATGTTACTGATTTCTACTCACTCCAAATTAAGTAAATATAGGTTGCCAGACAACAAAACATACACCCACAGCAGCTAAGTAGTCCAAGCAGTCAACAAGGGTTGTCACAAATTTTGTAAGTAATGGAAACATTTACAACGCACTAAAATCTGATTACGAGTAACAATCCATTAAGTAATTATCAGAAATCATTAGAATTTGTTTTGATTGTTGATCTCATGAGCTTTAAGACTGTGTATAAATTTATATTTACTTTAATCGCTAGAAAGAACATCCACAAGAATTCTCAAGTGATTAAGGGCCATAACTCTGACTCTGGTAGTAATTATCGGAAATTGCTGAAAAGCAATAAGCTTCTTCGTCTCATGACCATAAACACTGTGTATAAATTTAAAGTCAATCAGATATTAACTTCAGCCTCTACAACATACACAAGATTTTTCAAAGTGATCAAAGGCCATAACTCTGGCAGTAATTATCGGAAATCTTTGAAAATCAATAGGCGTCTTCGCCTCATGACCGTAAACACTATTAACTTTAGCATCTAGATTCTTCAAAGTGATCAATGAATGACCCATGTGCTGTACTTGATAATGACAGGTAAATTTTACCTACACATTATTTTTATAAAATAAAAGTTTAGTTTTATCCCGACACCGCATAATACAGCTTGGGACACCGGTCTCCATTTCCAGACGAAGACTGATGGGTTTAAGTTGTTTGAAAACGTATCACATATATTGAGTTAGTTTGGGACTAATCCTTTCATTTGAATTAAAGAACTTCTAGTGGCTTCATTTTTTTATCTATCAGGATTGATCTTCAAAAGCTCAATTCTTTTATCATAACAATTCTACTTGTGTGTCCATTGAGATTTCTTTTCGTTTTGAAAAGAGACATTTGCTCTATCCCACGTACTGTTTCTGACACAGGAAGTATGTTAATACAACTAGATAGACTATGTTTCTACAAAACCAAAAGGCAGCACTAACAATATGAATATATCACTGACTGGTCGGATACTAGTAAAAATCAAGTAATTATAAAAGAACAGTTTCTGATCTTTGAATCTAATATTAAGATCAAAAAGAAGTTCACAAGGGAAGTTATGGAATGAAATGAAATTTTAAACTTGCTTGTTCTTTTGTGCCAAATATATTTGTTTACAAACGTTTATACATGTAAACATGTCTCTTTAACACTATAAGTGACAATATTAATGGTTTATATTACAATGTGACCAAAACTGCAAAACCACTTTTAAAAGATATGCCAACACACCAGCTTTGTCTCAACTGCAGCTCATCCGAAAGAAAAACTTGGATGTTGAGCAAATTTGATAAGGATCTAAGACTAAGGATCCTTGAAGAAATCTAATCTTAAGGGTTCATCCTGAAATCTAATCTTAAGGCTTCATCCTCTTAAGACCCTGTTGCTTCCAACTAAATTTGAAAAGATAATATGTAAAACCTATAGTAGGGTGACCCATGTACTCACAGAAATACAGTCCACCGCTGATAGTTCGAGACTACCACTGAAGCGTGCACATTCGCCGTGCCGAGACCAACTTTCTGACAGTATGATACCATAAATAGCCATGGCACGTGCAATTCTCTACAAATCTATCAACTATTACAGCCGTAAAAAATTTATTGTTGACGATTTTGAATAGCAGTAAAATTAAGCTTCTTGGTTATTACAGCAGATTTAGAAATTACGTTCGTTTCATTTTTTAAATCGCTTTATCGTTAACTGTACCGTTAAGAGCGGCATCTTTTGGTTTAGTACAAATAATATCTCTGAATCACTCGGGTTAGGCAGGAACATGATACTAGCAGTAGTTTCATTTTACTTTTACAAGCTTCTTAAAACGATTGTTGAGCTACCTAACGTGCTTATTTCTAAATTCAATTTCTTGTTCTAGCTTTCTGTTATGTTTCGTAAAAAAGTAGTCTTGATTATCCCGACCTGTCAATCAGACGTAGAATGGTCGATAGACTGGTTAAGCGAGACTAATTTCAAAACAAGGGCACGTAACCTATCTTTTACTCAAAAGTGTCTGGATGTTATGGACGACTCTTGGAACCAGTTTTCAGTCTATTATTTATACATGATTAATGGTCATAGCTTATTAAGTACAACATGATTGTTTATATAGTGACTATAATTGTGTGAAACTGATTTGAGGCTTGGCATATATATAAATATTGTGGCGTAATTGTCGAGATATATGGAGATATTTATTTATGGTGGGTCACCCTACCTATAGCCTCTATCGCATTCACAAATTTTTGTTAAAGGAGGGATAGCTCAGGAAAGGAAGGCTATGAATTATGAATATCTTTAGGCATTGCAGACCCCAATCCTTCAAGAAAAATATGAAAAAGATCCATTAAAAACTATTTATAATTATAAGCCTTTATCACGTTCACATGGTTTTTCACAAAGGGGCAATAACAACAGAATGGAAATTCGCAGAAATCTGAAAATCAATAGGGTTCATTCTCTCATGACCTCAATGCTTCCAACCAAATTTGAAAATCTGTCAGAAACTATATCCTCTATCTTGTTCACAAGGCTTTTGAAAAAGGGGGCATAACTCTGATACGAAAGGTCACAGAACATTGAATAATGAAAGGGGTTCATCCTCTTGAGACTACGAAAGGTCACAGAACATTGAATAATGATAAGGTTCATCCTCTTGTGACTACGATGCTTCTCACAAAATTTGAAAGAATCCATCAAAAACTGTAGTCTCTATTCAGTTGTGTTCACAAGCCAATCTGTTACAAACAAGCTTCTAACACATTTACCGGTACAAGGTTTTTGGCAAAGGGGGATAACTCTGGAACAGAAAGTCGTAAGCTGAAAATCGATAGGGTTCATCCTCTCTTGACCCATATGTTCACATCAAAATTTGAAAAATTTTAATTAAAAATGAAGGTTTTAGACCAAAAGGGGGATTACTCCGGAACGGAAAGTCTTAGAACGCTGAATATCGATAGGGTTCGTCCTCTCATGACTACAATGCTTCACACCAGATTTGAAAAGAATCCATTGAAAACTAAAGCCTCTATCACGTTCACAAGGTGTTTGGCAAAGGGGGTGGGTAAATCTGGATCCTAGGAGCGACAGTGGCTCAGTGAGTAAGATGTTGGCTCACTAACCTGGAGGTTCCGTGTTTGACCCTGCGTTGGTCCGGAAAGTTTATCAGGATTTTCCAACGTGGTTCCCGTTGTCAGTGGTGCAGGGTGGAGGGCCTGACAAGGGACAACGCATAGTCGTTCGGATGGGACACTGAAATGTGGGTGTATACAAAAGGCCCTTCTATTTAAAATTTCCTAGTAATTGTGTGTGATTTCCATTTGTCGGAAAATACTGGATTTCTCACAGCTTAATCCACTTTAATATGTACTGGGATTGCAGTTCACCAATCATCATATCTTTGTTTGTAGGCTACATTATTTTTTAATATGGTTCAGATTAGTAGGCTATAATTTTTTGTTTCGTTTTTATTTTCAGGATAGACATGGTTCCTTTAATTTTTCGCCAAAAGGAATCATTTCTCGTCACATCTGACACAAATTTATATAACAGAGTATGCACAACTCAGAACACTTAAAATTCCAGAAGTTTTCCAGGAGTTACATGTATTTACCAGATTCCAGGAGTCCCTGTATAGAATTCTACATCATAATGTATTTTTTTACGCTTGAAGAACATTTATGGCGACGAATTCATGAACTTTTGAAGAAACATTCAATGACTACATTCAGTTTTATATCTTAAAATATATAGCGGAACCACAAATGTTAATTTTCCAGGAGTTTCAAGGAGTAATCTTCTTTTTCCAGGATTTTCCAGGAGTGTGCGAACCTTGTGGTTAATTCAACACTATTTTCAAGTAAAATTTTGCAATTGAAAAAAACATGTGCCATGTGGTCAAACGAATTTTGTGTATGTTTTTTAATTGCAAAATTCTATTTGAAAATAGTGTAGAATTATTATAAATTGTGTCAGATGTAGCAAGAAATGGTTCCTTTTGGCGAAAAATAAAGAATCACAGTGAAAAATAGAAGGTAAGGATTACAAAATTGAATTAGAATAGAACAGAGGTGGGGAAGAGTGGTGTTTTCATACTGCAGCTATATTGGGACGGATAGGAACGGTCAGCGACAGCGTTCGATCAGAGACTGTTCCTAAAAGAACTAGGAATTGACTCACTGATTACAAATAAAGTTAGGTACAGTAAAGGATAAAGCAATGAAACAATATTATGACAAGGGGGTTAACTCATAACAGTACGTTGATTTTCTTTTCTCTTAGTCTTTCTTAGTTTCTAGTAGGCCTACTTACTCTGGTGGATATAATTTTATGTCACGAACACGGCCTATATAACTGAATAATGTTTTCATTTGTTCTCTCGTAGCAGTTGGAGCGACATTTGTCACTTGTATAACCCTGGTGTCTATTTTTTCCGTCATTTTTGCAGTGTTCGGTAAACGATTTCACACATTCACGTCCCGTGTTGGCCTGTCTATGACCGGAAGTAAACTCTTCAAAGAAAGAAAATACAGACGTGCGTGGGAAAGGTTAGATCCTGCTCATCATATCTGACCGGGTGTGTATCTCTTATTTTTTTTTATGAGACTTCAACTTTCAGATTGGTATTTTATACGTGGATTTAACTATTAGGACTAAGAGTAAATATTGGAATTCATGGTTATTTCTTAAAATCAAAACTGCAAACATAAGCAATGAAACCTCAACACGTTTATATTAGGTTGCGTCGAAATTTCAGAATGACGGCAATATTACCTGAAATAAATAGTTCGCAATTAAAGATTGAATTTAATATTGGATAGTTTATTTCTACAATATAAAATATATTTTGATAATAAAAGAATAAACAATAGCCCTTTTCACGTAGAATGCTAATTTGTGTGTGATAAAGATAGATGTCGTTTCTTTTGAATAATATATCTCTAAAATTGTAAATATTGAAGAAACCATTAAAATTGAGTGTGGTGATAATACCGGTACCAGCTTTATTTGAGATATTGTGAGTATTGTATTGGCACTGGCTTGACATTACCTCCAAGAACCTAGCTAAAAACGTCGAAATATCCTGATGTGCTTGTTTTTAGCTACGATTGGGTGCCTTTAGTTCCAAGTGGCAAACTCAATTTCTTTGTTAATGCTTTGTTTTGTATAAATTGTAAATAAGATAATTTTATGCTATTATGACTAGGCTAATTAAACTTACAGAGGACAATGTTACGTAGTGGCACAACTATCACCTAACTCCAAATAGTCGCATTGACCGTCCTGTGACTGGCCTAATCATAAATGACATAATCACCGAATTATCGTCTTGCATTGTTATAGCAGACATTTGTGATTGGAATGTTTTGGAGTGAATTTGTAATGCTGTATCTTGCCTTAGATCCATTTAAGCTGCCTTTGTTTAAATAAGCCACGTGGCAAATGAAGACGGTCCAAAACTATTCTCTATAACTGTACAGAAATACAAATGGTGCCAGTCATTTGTCGCTATATTCATTATTAGTTATATATAATAATAACCATTTCTATACACAAAGAACAACTTTTATCGTTTCTCCATTTGAAATTCACAGCGAATATGGAATTTTCTGATGACTATGCATAGCAATAGATCGCCCTCATTTCTCAGCCAATCAACGCTGGGAATCTTATTACCATGTACAGACAGTACGGTTCCATGCATATTACGGGCGTAGTAACTGAGGTTAAAATTTGGCCAGAAAATCGCATGGGAATCATGGACATGAATATTTAATACATGTGATCATACGTGGAGTTCCTGATGCCATTTGGTGAGTGATTAAACTGTCAATGTAATTGTAAAATACCTTTTTTATAAAGAAGTTAAACGATGTTAGACATTATAACCTAATCTTCTTATCACAAACATTTATTTATCGAATAATTTATATTCAGATTTTATATCAAGTCAATTAAATAATACGAGGCTACTTTATTACAAAAGCATCGGTGAACAAAGCTAAATGATTATTGGGTAAATAATAATTATAAACAACTGATGAGTAAGTGTACAATTCTACGATTAGTTGTCATGTGGAGAAATGTTTGTAGAAAAGTTTCTTTCGTTCGTTCGTGTAGTATTACGCACACATTCCACCTAAAGTGATGTCTTTGATCTGGCGGGCATAAAAAAAATAATTACCTTATCAGCATTCTTATTCCCACATCGAGGTGTAAATTAATTTATGACCCCATGTTTGTGCAACTTTAGTCGGATTAATTAATGACAGATATTACGACACTACACTTGCCATATTATTATTAATACACAAAGATAGTTAGATGACCCTTCTCAATCTGTTATTCGATCTAGATGGTTACCAACAAAATACATTTGTGCTGTTAATTCTAACATATATTGAGATATTTTTTCGTATTTCATTTTTACGGTCTTTTTCAGAGTAATGAAGTCAAATCCACATGCAGCAAGAATGGCGCCGTACGATGGCTACAGGAAAATGAGATACAGTTGGCTGCTGATAACAGATCGTCATTTACAAATCGCTTTTCAATCATGTTTGTCTTTTATGATACATTTTGCATGACTACATCTTTTTACGCCTGTACTCTTTTACTCTGGGAAATAAGAAGCACAATATTCTTCTGACAGAAATGTATCTCGAATCATTTGGAATGGAAAAATGCCACGTCTTACACAAGAAAACAGGAATTGAGCTATTGGCATGCTGGATCAGGGGGGCTAAACAGGTAGCCGTCGCCAGACACTTTAATGTCCACCCATCGACCATTGCTCGTCTCCGACAACGCTTCCATGCCACTGGAAGAGTTACGATAGACCCCAACCTTGAGCGGCACCTGTAACAAGCGCTGCTACTGCCAGGGGAACTGCTGGAACACGGCAATGTCAAATCAGCCCTCAAACAGTCTGAAGGCGCCTAGCTGCTCTTGGGTTACGATGCCGTTGACCTTACCAATGTCAAATCCTTTTGCATCGTCATCGACTTGCCAGACAGCAATGGTCCGCAAATCGGGGGGTATCTGCACAACACACCATGGCGAAATGTCATCTTCTTGGATGAATCCCGATTCAACCTCAGTTTTCCTGATGGACGTCACCATATCTACCGATGTCGACATAAAAGCTTTGCTCGTAACTGCGTGCTGTAAATGGGTCAGGTTGTTTGGGCAGCTATCAATGTCAACTTCCGGTCCCAGTTGGTGGTGGTCCAAGGCAATCTCAACGCTCAATATTATGTTGAAGCCATCCTTGGTCCGGTGTTGCTTCCATTGCCTACTCAACATGGCGTCCGTCGACAGATGGTTTTCCAGCGTGACAACGCCCGACCCCACACTGCCAAGTTGACGAGACTTTCTGAACAATCATCATGTCATCATGGATTGGCCCGCTATGTTTCCTGACATGAACCCGATCGACATGAACCCGATCGAATACCTTTGGGATGAACTTGGACGATGGGTTCAAACTCAAGCCGTGCCACCACGAACTGTTGCAGAGTTGGCACAGGCACTCCAATATCATTGGCAAACATCCCACAGCGTGTAGTGAGACATCTGTGCCAGTCCATGCCAAGGCAGCTTCAGGCATGTGTAAGAGCTCAGGGTGGACATACCCGATATTGACTTCAGCTGACCCAAGCTTTGTTTCATGGTTCTCTGATGTTTCGGTTCTGTGCATTTGTAGTGAATTCTTTCATGTAATTATCCACAGATGCTTGTTATCTTGATTTTGTCAATTGTTGTGTACATTTTTTAAAAGTTGTTGCAGTAAATAAACTTTGAATTTGGCATTGCATTTTTAATGGCTTTGAGTGTAGTAACCACTGGCTATAAGTACATGCAATTTAAGTTTTTCATCTTTATGTGCTCTTTAAGTGTACATAAATCCTCAGATACATGTATACCTGTGTGTGGGACGAATTTTTTCAAAGGACTGTTGGACTGTGACGCAACAAAAATTTGGTCAGTTCCCACTAAAACATTATTGGAAGCAACTCCACATAAATAGGTGGATTATCATCACAGTAATCCATTGAATTTAAATACCCTGCACAGACTTAACTCCACGTGCGCAGATTAGTCAACGGAAATTAGACACAGATTCGCAGTAGTAATCTGTCCACGGCGTGAAATCTGCACTCAACATATATATTATATTGGTAATAGCTGGGGGGGGGGGGGTCTGTTTAAGTGAGCCGATTACAGTTTATTAACAATAATAAAGAAATATAACATTGTTAGTTGTCTTCTATTTATTGCAATAACCACTAGTAAAAGATTGAAAACAAACATTGCTAGTTGTCTTTTGTTTTATTTAATTGATCAGCGATTGTTGAGACTATTAATAAAAGATAAACAATGCTAGTGGTCTTTTGTTTTGTTTAATCAGAGACTATTGGCCTTGACAATTAAACATTATTGAAAATTTGTGTATATTTAATAATACTTCGTTGTTTTTCTTTTATCAAATCGTCGCTTGTCTGGCGAACCGACGAATCTGAAATATTTAAGTATTGAGAATTATGCGTTTGGAATTTGCGCTGTTGTTATCTCTATGTCCATCAAATAATAACATTTATGTAAATGGCGTTCCGTGTCCTGATGTATATGTATGAAATATTAAATAAATGTTAATATTTGATGGCTACAGATAATTCTCAATACTTAAATATATCAGATTCGTCGAAATATACTTAACAGTAAAAAACATGTCAGTACAATTTCAAAATCAGAGAGGCACTTTAATCAAATCATTCTAGAAAACGACTTACTAAATGGATCAAAGCAATTTTTTGTGAACAGTATGTTGACACATTAGTGATTAATTCATCACAATTCCAAGGCATTACGAGAAGGTTTAGAGTCTGTACACAGTCTATACTTCAGTATCTGGTGTGTCAACCGCGAATGTCAATAACAGCAGCGCAGCGTCTGTACATGGAGTTGACCAGACGATTGATGAACGCCATTGGCACCTGGAACCACACTCTCAGAAAAGCCTGGTGCAATCCATCGGCTGTGTTTGGTCTCGGTACGACGTTATTATGTCTCCATTGAATTTCATCCCAAAGGTTTAAGTCCAGACTAAGAGCTGGCCAGTGCATAATGTTGACACCGTTCTGCTGTAGAAAGTCCTGAGTAAATCTGGAGGTGTTGGCACGGGCCATTGTCATGCTGGAAAACGTTGTTTCGATGACGTGCGAAATGTGGTATGACGTGTTGTCTGAGAGCTTGATCGATGTAGCGCACTGCTGTGATGCCGCCTCCTCTCCCTGGACCAAGATTTTAGAACACCACAGAACACACTCTCTGGTTCAGGCCGATTCCACCTCAAACCATTATGCTTGTACCTCCCCATGAGTCTCGTTCCATGACACATTGGTCAGTATAACGCTGGCCACGTCGATGCCATATTCTGGTCCTGCCATCTGCAGTTGATACGCAATACCGACTCTCATCTGTGAACAGAACAGTTCTCCACTGCCTGTGTCGCCAGTTCTGGTGTTGTTGAGCAAACTGTAGATGTTCACATCGATGGCGAGGGTTGAGGATCGGTCTACGGCAATGGATGTTCTCTCTGTTGAGACATTGGCGCACTGTATCGGTACTGATGAGTCTTTCGTGTGTTCCCACTGTCTGATGTGCTGTCTCAGATGCCTGTGTGAAGGGATCTGCACGTGCTGTCACACAACATGACATTCTTGTCGCCTTGTGGTAACCCTTGGTCTACCAGTTCGGGGGCGATCATCCGTGGTGTTGGTGGCCCGAAAGCATTGCTGAAGCCTGTAGATGGTCCGAACATTGACCTGGAAGTGATTGGCAACAGCTTGGACAGTGTGGCCAGCGTCATGACTTCTAAGCGCCTGGTTCCTCTGAGCTGTCGTGAGTCGTGGCATGCTGCTGACGTTGGTGTGGGCCTGCAGCCAAAATTTCTAGCGTGAAGTTCTGCTACAAGGTTCTCCCTAATAAACAAAACTATATATTTTTGGAAAGCTTATAACACCCGATGCCTTCATCCGATGCAAAGAATATGCTATTGGTTAAATTTTGATTTAAAGCAAAATGCAGAAAACATAATGTCTGCAGTTGATAACAGTATTTCAGGTGCGTGTTGACTGCTGATGCTGTATGACGCACAAGACCCTGTGTGGGCACACAAGCCCAATATTTATATCGTTAATGGGGTCCCAGGGGACTGCAAGGGTTGGTGAGCGGGTGTTTGCCCAGAAATTATGGGCGGAGCGCCTAGTCTGATGAGCAAGGAGATATGTTTGACATTGGTTGAGCAATATGTCTATGAAGTAATGGAGACCAGACTCTGTCCGTAGTTTTGTAAATCGCATTGAAACGTGATTTTTTCCACTAGAAACGTGATTTTTTCCACTAGAACATACACCCACACCCACATACCCTTTCAATTAGATCCTACATTTTTTTTACTACAGGTAGCTGTAAACTTCTAGTTCAGATATTTAAGGCCGAATTACAAACATTTAGCCACGATCATCATTACTAAAGTCAGTACGATAAACAGCATAGTCTTGATTATCCATTTAATCGTTAAATTGTGAAGGAAAGTTATGCAGTAAATCGGCTCATAATCCACTAAAGATCGCAGGCTAGCATAACCATCTAGAGTTGACTATGTTCTGGATAGGTTAATTAATGTCTAATTAATAATTTAGATAACATTTCAGGCCTAAATAAAGACCTGCAATTATCCATTTAATCGTTAAATTGTGAAGGAAAGTTATGCAGTAAATCGGCTCATAATCCACTAAAGATCACAGGCTAGCATAACCATCTAGAGTTGATTATGTTCTGGATAGGTTAATTAATGTCTAATTAATAATTTAGATAACATTTCAGGCCTAAAGAAAGACCTGCAATTATCCATTTAATCGTTAAATTGTGAAGGAAAGTTATGCAGTAAATCGGCTCATAATCCACTAAAGATCGCAGGCTAGCATAACCATCTAGAGTTGATTATGTTCTGGATAGGTTAATTAATGTCTAATTAATAATTTAGATAACATTTCAGGCCTAAAGAAAGACCTGCAATAGACAGATTTAGCTCTTGCATAATGTATGTTTAAGTTTGCCAGGTGAAATTAAAGGCATCCAGTTGTAGCTGAAAACAAACACATCACAGTATCTCAGCGATTTTAGCTACATTCTCATAGCTATACTCACAGTCACATTATGTTTACAAGACATGATTGACAACCCAATCCCAATGATGGCTTTAATGCAATAGAAATAGAAACCAAAGTTATAACATTGAAGTGCAGCAATGGCAATGCAATTTGAAACAAATATATATGCAGGGTTACAGGATTCTTGAAGTAATAAGGAATGTAAAATAAACTGAACAAAGACATTTGATGACATTTTGTTGATAAATATAAAACTTGTTCCTAACAAGGTCATTAATGAATGATATATGTCAATTAAGTTCATTTCAATTTACCTATTGTTTCAGTGTCAAGATGGCGGATGTAAATAAATTAGTGTTTTCTGTTTTACAATTTTTGAAAGAACAGACTATGACTGGAGGACTAGATGATGAAGCTGTAGAAAGCTTAGAAGGTATAAGATGTGATTATTTTATATGCACATTTGGAGCAGAAGTTTCTTATCAATACTTCTCGACATGTATTTTAGCTTTCAGTGTTTTGAATGCCCTTTTAGTTCCCTTGAATAGTATTTTTAGAAGTGCAGTTTTATACTGTATGAAAGTTTGTCGCATATTGTTACCCCTCTCTGTTATCCACTTGCTTGTGCATACTCTTAAGACAAAAGTTTTTTGATTGGCTTGAAAATTATACTTAGTCTGTAAGTTCATAAGTTGAAAAAGCATATTGATTATCAAGATTTTTGATGATTTGAACAGCTAAAGTCATCATTTGATTACTAGTACATGTTTTGTATGTCTTGTTGCCTCGCAACCTATCTGTTGTCTTACAGTCGATAGATCTGGTAGCTTCCTTATAGATGATGACATGCATTATTTAAAACTCCTGGTAATACTTATTTGATCTGATTTCATTTTCAGTTGCTATACAGTGTTTGGAGTCATCTTTTAAAGTAGATATCAACGACCCAGAAACAGTAACAAAATATCAAGTCCAGAGAAATCTTTTAGATATATTTAATGCACAGCTGAGTAATGAAGTAAGTTTGTCTTTTTATGTTCTTCCATATTATTGTACAATAAGTGTTAGGGCTTTGAGGGTCTTTTCTGTTGATAAAAATCAATTTATGATTATATAATATGACTTGAATTAACTGTTGCATCATGGACATTGAAATAAGTATGCAAAATTTGAGAAAAACCATCCAAGATATCATTGTAGTATCTACATTTTAACTTTGCATTTAGGAAAAGTAGGCCTTTTTATGTGTTGTTTTAAATTAGCTGTACCACATTTCATCGATAGCCTTTGATTATAAAAGTGAGTGATACAATTGAAATGCCAGAATGTGATAGAATAGCCCAAATTGTGACTTTTGTAGTTGGAAATTTTAGCTCAAATATTGGTCAGTTTGGAAGTGATTACTAGATTTACATGTATAATGACATTGTTTAGTTAGGTAACATTGTTATCCAGACACTTAAAGTTTGCATAGAATTTTGTGACTTATTGTCAACCACGCATGTTTTTATGTTGGCAGAAATGCACCACATAGATTTAGCTAATTACTGAGGACTCAGATTAAGGTTTCGCCGAGAGTCTTTCTCACAGATTCACAAAATTGTGTCTAGTACTACAGCTTCTTTAAGTTATTACACTGATATTATATAAACTTAATTACATGTATTTTCTTGACAGAATTAATATTCAGTCATTTATTATATCAGAAAATCTAAGTACATGTACATTCCAGATGCAGATAATATATAATAATAATATGTGCTATGTTTTTTAGCCTGATTCTGATTTCTCTAGTTTATCCCTCCATGAAGCAACTGAAACCGAGAAAGATGAGGCTGAACAATTTAAAAATAAAGGTAAAAGAAATATTGTCCTACACATATATTTGCCGTCTGTTTACAATTCTTACCTGCACTCTACTGATTAGATTTCATTTAAAGATGGGTTCCCAGAAAAGTATTTATCAGGTGGTTATTTCCAATAAAAGTATGGCAATTTTGGTATATATATAGAAAGTAGAGGTATCAAATCTTACTAGAAAAATACTGGATTCCCCGAAAAACACTCATGGAGCGTATACAGGACAAAAATGTAAGGGTTCCCCTAATCGACAGCCTGACGCTTAGGAATTTCTGCTCGTGTGATGTCAAAGGTCAAACGCGAACATTGAGCGCTTGATGTACAAGTTGATAAACTTTATGAAGAGTTAGACATACACCACTTTCCGAGATAAAAATGATGGAAAAAGACGCGGGTAGTGGATAATCCGAGAATTTAATTAGGATTCGATATTTGTAATAAATAGTAAGCGATTAAAGACAACATCGTCTTATGTATGGAATGAATTCTCCTCTGACTTCCAAGAGAGGTAAGTCACGTGACGTAAACATGACCTGGTTTGATCGTATTTTTATAGCAGGGCATTCCTTCGCAATTACAATGTTTGAGAAGGATTTGAAGCAAGATTATGACAAATTCATTAGTTGGAATATGTTTTTAGTCCATATATAATACCATTAAATCACCCAGTTTGTACGCAGGAATGTATCTTTTATTTATATATTTGTTGTCTGGCAACACTATGTTATAAAGTGATGAGTAATGATTATTTTTATGCTAGAATTGTGCTGCTTGGGTAAATTTTCTATTGATTAAGTTTTAATGAATGATAAATATTTTTGTGCTAGAGATCAGCTATATAGGAAAATTTAATTTTCTTTAGATTAAGTCAAGCAATGGCAAGAGTGATTAGATCAGTCAGTACTTGGCTATCAAGTTGTTCCTGTGTCAAACTGTGTATAAATAATGTATGGCAATGGAATGTTAATTTTTTAAACAAAATTAACGTCTTACAATTATTGTCCCTGCCTTGTCAAAGAAAATAGGGAACTATCAAAATGGGTATGTCCGTCTTTCTATCTGACCGCCTGTCTGTCTCTCTCTCCGTCACACTTTTTGGGACACAGTAACTCACCTTCTAATTGAGCAAGAATGTTCAAACTGGGTGTAGGTGTTTATTAGGTGTACTACCAGCAATCTCTGGATCGGCCAAAATTTGGATCTATATCTATATACAATTACACCCAAATTTTTGTCGGTTTTCATGGCCAAGTAGCATGCGAACCCTACCATTTACCTGTAATCTGATTGCAGATTCGTAATCTACACAAAAAGTTCTTTAACCCTACCAAATTTGAGCTGTATATCTTCACTAGAAAGGTAAAAACAAGATATCTGAAACTCAAGTAAATTATTGATACATATTTTGTTTCAAAAACTTATCGGTAACTCATGAAACTCAAATGCCCGTATCACAGTCAATTTTCAAGCTACGGACCACAAATTTTGCTCAGTTTCTAGTTTTTACATGTACAATAACATATATTATTTTCTAGATTTTTTTCGAGGGGGGGCAATTTCCCAAATTTCTGTAAAATTGACCCACCTGACATGGTATGACCCTAAGGAATAAAAACAACAATTTTATCTGATTATGTTTGTGGGATAACTGAAATGTGGCTGAATAATGATGAAACTTTAGTGTAGAGTTTCACTACCAGATACTTCAAAACCTTGATTGAGTTCAATCATGAACATTTACTGCTTGAACTAAGTATATAGATAATCAGTTTGATTGCTTGATACTTTTCAAAAAGATACATGTGCAATTAGTTAATATGTGGGATTGCAGCGGGGAACATCAGCCTCACTGTTGGCTTGTTTGTTTCAGGTAACGATTTTATGAAAACCGAGAAATTTTCTGATGCCTTGGAATGTTATAGTAAAGCAGTTAAGTTGGATAGTAAAAATGCTGTATATTTCTGTAATAGGTAGGCAACTTTTTTTTCATATTGAATGTGAGTAAAGATATTGCAAACCCAAATCTGTTATTTTTATACGCCCACATTTTCATGTGGACGTATATTGTCGTCACCCCTGTCCGTCCGTCCACAATTGTTTGTGAACACTCTACAGGTCACAATTTTTATCTGATTTCAATGAAACTTAAAATATAGGTTTATCACCCTAAGATCTCGGTTCCTTTCGATATTGGCATGTATCGGACTCTAACTTCATGGATTATTGCCCCTGACCGTATGAAAAATCACATTTTTAGCTTGTGAACAATGTAGAGGTCACAATTTTTATCTGATTTGGTTTAAACTTGAAATGTACGTTTATGACCTACAGATCTCTGTTCCATTCGATATTCGCACATATCGGACCATAACTTCCTGATTGTACCAAAAATCGCGTTTTTTAGATTGTGGACCCCATAGAGGTCACAATTTTTATCCGATTTAAAAAAACGTTTGAATATATCACCGTTACACCCTAAGGATGGTTGAGTTCGAATTTCGTTAAAAATCGAACTGAAACTGACGGACATAATGGCCGCCCCTTGTTCGCAAATGGTGTCACAATATTGTGTATCAGGGTTGTGGACCCTCTGGAGGTCACAATTTTCATCTGATTTTGATGAAACTTGAAATGCATGTTTATAACCCAAATATTTTGGTTCCTTTTTATTTCCATACATATTGAATCATAACTTACTGAATTATGGCCCTTGATTGAACAAAAAATCACGTTTTTAGCTTGTGGTCCCTGTAGAGGTCACAATTTTTATCCACAATATATCACCATTACACACTAAGATCTTGGTTCCTTTTGATAATCGCAGATACCCGAACTTAACTTCCTAGATTATGGCCCCTGATTGTTCGAAAAATCGCATTTTTAGCTTGCGGATTCTCTAGAGGTCACAATTTTTTTCTGATTTTAAAAACCGTTTTAGTTAAAACTACATCACCATTCCACCATAATGAAGATTAAGTCGTATTTCGGGAAAATTTAAATGAAACTGTCCGACAAAATGGCCACTCTTTGTATGCAAATTGTGTAGAAGTGTGTAATACGAAGGTTGTGGACCCTCTAGAGGTCACAATTTTTATCCGATTTTGATGAAACTTAAAACATATCTTTATATTATCCTAAAGATCTTGGTCCTTTTTGATATTTGCACATTTCAGGCCATAACTTTCTGGATTTTTGCCCCTGATTGGACAAAAAATCACGTTTGTTTTTAGCTTGTTCTCTATCCATCTGTTGCAAAATGTGGGCGTATCCTGCCTGGCAGCCGCTAGTTATCCGCTTTTAATGAAACATAAAACATATCTTTTTATCCCAAAAATCTCTGTCCCTTTTGATATTTGCATATTTCAGGCCATAACTTTCTGGATTATTGCCCCTGATTGTACAAAAAATCACATTTGTTTTTAGCTTGTTCTCTATCCATCTCTTGCAAAATGTGGGCGTATCCTGTCTGGCAGTTGCTGGTTTTTTATACCCTTTCTTGCATAGTGACATCTTATAACTGACATGTATTATGTATGACATGAATGCTAAAATCACATTTATTGTGTAAGAAAAATATCTGAGAATGCTAAACGTAAACATATTAGGCTCTGCATTGATAAATACTTTTCAAAGCACACTTGTAATTGAAGTCATCGATCAAACACTTGATAAACATTTTCTGCAAATTAGTTGTACCGGTAGTTGTATAAGGAGATTAATGGATTAATTGAAAGATTTTTTTTTTCAGGGCAGCTGCTTATAGTAAATTAAATAAACATCAACAAGCAATAGAAGACTGCAATCGAGCTCTAACTATAGATTCCAATTATAGTAAAGCATATGGTAGAATGGGGTAAGTTAATATTAAACCATGTAATTTTTGTTTTTGATAATTGAATGTGCAACATGACTGAATATTTCACAGAAAATAACAAATAAACATAACTTGTGTACATATCATCATACAGAGTTGATTGTTTCTCGATTCTCAAGCACAGACGTTTGCTTGAATTGTCCGTTTCGATCTTCCACTTTCTATGTTAGTCTTAGTTATTACACCCCCCCCCCCATGTAACATGATGTAGTGCTCTGTATATGTAAAGCTTACTTAGGATATATGAAGTTAGTACAAGTCAGTATTCTTGATGATGAAGTAGTGTTTCAGATTTCAGTCTTTATTGAAACAGATAAACAGGCCAGCACACATTATTAAATAGTACCCAAGATGTCCTAATATTATAAAAATCAGTGACTTGTAGCTCTTAGAAAAAAAAAACTTGAATCGTTCAACCATATTAAATTTCTAATTTATACAACTGATGAAATTATTCTCTGAAACAGTGAGCTTCACCAAACTGTTTATTCACCAATTTTCCAATTTCCAAAATTATTCAGAATTGTACAGCACACTTTAAGGTTAAACATTGAGATATTGAATTGAATGTTTTATATGGTAGTAGGGCTGCAACGATTCATCGATGGATTGATGAACCACGATGTTTCAAAAATCCACAATGCACGATACAATCAATGGCCATATCGCGATTCGTTATTCAAATAATAATTTCACAAAAAAAGACTGATATTCCTTTAACCCATAACCGGTCATTGTCGACTATAATCACCACAAGGTTATACAGCTAAGTGGTCACGGTCGACTAAAGTCGACCACAACAAGAACCTTTTTTATAAGCCGCATTTGAGTATTTAGTTTCGTATTTAATTAATATGGCCATGCATGCCTGTCAGACAGGAACTTGTCTTGTCATGGGCATTGAGAAAAACATGTCTCTGTTCAACTTTTTTTGACAAAAAATAAAAATTTAACAATGTCGGGAAGGTTTAAAGACTCTCAAAGTGGTTGAAATGCTTATGAATGATTCCGACTCGGATTATATCGATGACACCGATTCTGAAGACGATATATCTGATGAAAATGATTTAAAATGATTTGCAAATTATAGATCCCCTTCAACTTTTTTATTGATGTCAAGAGTCTATCACTTATAATTATTCGGCAGTAGTCAATTGAAATAGGCATACAAAATATTTCACTTCAGCCTTTATTTAACCTGACCACTTGATGTCATGATGCCAAAATGACGTCGACTGGTTAAGGGTTAAATGTAAAAATAAGTCCAAATTGCGTTCAAATTACACACTTGAATAATATGCGAGAAAAAAACAACATTAATATATATAGACCTATATACGTCTGTAATATGCTATTTGTGATAATATTACTGTATAAGAAAGGCGATTTGTACATACTGCATACATTGATCAGCACATTTTCAATGTATATTAATATTTGATATTGAAATCTTTGTAACGTTATGACTGACCTGACAACAAGGAAGCTTTTCGTTGACTGAAATTGTTGTGGCAATACGAGCCAGCCAGCTGAAATTTTTTCTTAATGAATTACCAAATTCAAGTCACACGATCGACAAAAGCAATATTGAGATCAAAATCCCCCATACCAAGTATAAAGTCACAAGTAAAGTATGGGAGTTTTTAGGATTTCCCGTTAAGCATGACAGCAATGAAATCAGGTCAGTTGACCGAGAAAATAACACATTTAAAGTAGCTAAGTCTCTAACTAGCTAAGTCTCTAACATGGGACACGAAGAACGAGGCTAGACATATTCCACAAGTCATGTCAAACGGTGGCGCAATATTCTTATCGGAAGAGTATGCGCAATAAATACTATCAGTGTAGACTGAAATAACCAGACGCTAGAGATTGCCATTTGATTGAGACTTCTGGCGTATTGAATGTAAATCAGTTTATATACATTCATATTACATTATAATATGCATTACGACCCATTTGTGTCAATTTCTAGATCCCAAATATTAGCAACTTAGCTCCTTTAAAGTAAATCATAAAAGTAGGCCTTCGAGTTTTCACAGTGAAAGACTTGTAAAATTTGAACAGCATTTTTTAAATTTATTTCCTATATCGCAATATTAATCGTATCGTAGACTATGAATCGTGATGCGCATCGTATCGTGGCCTGGCATATCGTTGCAGCCCTATATGGTAGAGTTTCAGAACAATTCAGTCAAAATTCAGTTTTGTAGAATTTATTTCATCTATTCATGTGCGTTTTTGGATTGTTTTCAGAATTGCATATACAGCTTTAAATGATCATGAAAGTGCGAGAGAATGTTACAGAAAGGCATTAGAATTAGATCCAGATAATCAGAGCTATCAAAATAACTTAGAGATTGCAGAACAAAAATTGAGAGAAGCTGCCACCAGTGTATGTACTATTTTCATTAAAAATTCTTGTAGAATTCTGATGTATTCAAATTTTTCATTCAATAGAAGTATTTTCTTACGTATTGTTGACACTAGTTTATTAAAGGCACATTATAGTCAAAATCAGAAAATATGGTCATGACAGCATTCCATGCAACTTCCTAGGTTATCAAAGTTACATTTACACTGACAATCACATTCAATAGCTTATAATATTTTTACCTTGAGGTGTCAGAATGTTCTGCAATGTGACATCACAGCATATTTTGTCGTAACTGTTAAAGGTATTGATGTGATTTCCCCTGACTACTGGTAGTCAAAACTAAGGAACAACCAAATATCCTAATGATTTTTATTTGTCAAGCAAATTAATTTTTACTAGAACTGCGATGCAGTAATAACAGGTTTCACCGGTGCCATGTTACCCTTGAACTTATGTCACTTCCAGTGCCATGCTACCCAGCAATATCAATTTCATTTATACATTTGTTACCATGTGTTACATATGTCAAAAAAATGATCCTGACAAAATTTGTTACTAACTTACCACTATTGTAGCTGACTTTCTAATGGGAAATTTCTCAACAAGGGAAGATGCTAGAAGCAATTTTTGGACATCTCTATGATCGTATTGATCCAATCTATATGTCTATTGGAACCAAATATCATAATGTTAAACGAATAATAAATATAACTGACTTCAAAACAATATTTGTTTTAAAGGCTAATAATACAGTTTTTGCCAAAATTACATTACTTCCCATGATAATGAAAATGTTAAATTAATTCTATGAAATTATAAATGGCATAAGGCATCACATGGTGAAAATTTTATGATAATTGAATAATAATTGACACTTTTATAGACCAAAAACCTTGTAAAGTCACTTCTTGTAGAATATCGTCTATTTCTATGCAACAGAACAGGTTAGAAACCATTTTGTGGGATCTGTATGATCGTATGGGTTCATTCTGTTTGTTGATTGGAATCAAATATCATAATTTTAAAAACATTACAAATCGGACTCATTTGAATAAAATATCTGTTTTGAGGGCTAAAAATACAGTTTTTGCCTAAATACGTAATTTTTGTTGACTGCGAAAATGTTAAAATTGGATTGACCTAGTTAAAAATGGCATTAGACATCAAATGTTAAAAAAAATTTAAAATTGAACGATAATTGACTCTTTTACAGGCAAAATAATGTGAAGAGTGACGCATGCAAAATTGCCTATCTCTCGGCAACTGCGCATATTACAAACTAATTTTGACATACATTGTCCTCGTATGGATTAATGCTACAAAATTATTAAAGTTGCGAAGAAATATTTTAATTAAAATATGAATCCTGTAGTAGGAGCATTGATCTTCATTGATAAGATTTGTAGAAATTAATATTTGATTTTGAAAAGACCTCCTCACCCATCAAAATTTAAGTTTTAGGCAAAATTACATCACTTCCTGTGCCGACAGAAAACTTTATTGGTAGAAACAAGTTGCGAATTTGCACCAATGAGTATAGGAGCTTTTGTTTTATACAAATCAGGCAATAAATAATTAATTTAGAACCCATAAACTGTAATAAAAATGTGAAAAGTCTTAAAAAGTGATCCTGACGAAATTGGTTATTTCTTTGCAAGAGAAGATGCCAGAAGCTATTTTTTGACATTTTTATGGTCGTATTGATCCAATCTATATTTCCATTGGAATGAAATATCATAATGTTAAACGAATACTAAATATAACTCACTTCCAAAAAATATTTGTTTTAAAGGCTAAAAATACAGTTTTTGCTAAAATGATATTACTTCTGGTGAGAATGAAAATATTAAATTAGTTTTTTGAAATCCAAAATGGCATAGACCAAAAACCTTGAAAAGTCACTTGTAGAAAATCGTCTATTTCTCTACAACCGTACAAGTTATAAACCATTTTGTGGTATCTGTATGATCGTATGGGTTCATTCTATTTGTTGATTGGAATCAAATATCATAATTTAAAACAAATAACAAGTATGACACATTTTAATAAAATATTTGTTTTTAAGGCTAAAAATTAAATTTTTGGCAAATTACGTCATTTCCGGTGACAGTGAAATTGTTAAAATGGTCTAGTTGATTGTGGCATTAGGCATCAAATGGTGAAAGAAAATTGAAAATCAAATAATAATTGATTCTTTTACAGGCAAAATAATGTGAAAAGTGACTCATACAAAATTGCCTATTTCTCGGCAACTACGCATGTTACAAACTAATTTCGGCATAGATTGTCTTTATATAAATACATGCTACATATTCTAAAATATTCTAAAATATGAAAAGCCTGAATTTGCAAAAATTAATATCTGCTTGCGTAAAATTCTGACCAGTCAAAATTGTAAATTTTCACCAAATAACATCACTTCTGGTGCCATCAGAAAGCTTTATCGGTAACAAAGAAGTTAAGAATTTGCACCTTGAAAATATGAACTTTGTATTATACATATCGGGCAATAAACAATTAACCTGAAATTAAAAAGCCAAAAAAATTTTCAAAAATGATCCGGACAAAATTGGTTATTTCTCGACAAGGGAAGACGCTACAAGCCATTTTTTGACATCTATATGATCGTATTGATCTTACCTATATGTCCATTGAAATCAAATATCATAATTTGATACGAATAATGAATACCACTCACTTGAAAAAAAAAATTTGTTTTGAGGGCTAAAAATACAGTTTTTGCTGAAAAGTTACTAGTAGAAAATCGTCTATTTCTCTGCAACCTTACAAGTTAGAACCCATTTTGTGGTATCTGTATGGTTGTATGGGTTCATTCTATTTGTTGATTGGAATTAAATATACTTTTAAACCAATAACATATACGACTCATTTGAATAAAATATCTGTTTTGAAGGCTAAAATTTCAGTTTTTGCCCAAATAACGTCACTTCTGGTGACAGTGAAAGTGTTAAAATGGTTTGACTTAGTCAAACGTGGTATTAGGCATCAAATAGTGAAAGAAAATTGAAAATTGAATAATAATTGAATCTTTTACAGGCAAAATAACGCAAAATGTGACTCATGCAAAATTGCCTATTTTTCAGCAACTGCTGATATTACAAACTAATTTTGACTTACATTCTCTTTCTATGGGTTATTGCAACGAGGTTATGAAAGTTAAGAAAACAATAGTGTTTCACACAAGCTACGCAGTGTGAAACTCTAATAATAATCCGAACAAAAACAATAGTGCTTCACACAAGCTACGCAGTGTGAAACCCTAATGAGACAAATTGGCAAAGGAAAATGTACAACTGAAAACATATCGCTTTGAGGTTGTCAAAGTATTAAGTAAAACCTGTTTAAATCAAAAGATTTGCTCCATTAATTAAAGGACAATGTTGGTGTCCGCCAATATTACGTGATAGAAGTGGTTAAACACACTCCAAATATAATTTTGAAATAGAGATCTTTGGCACTGTAAGAAAGGTTTGAAGAAGCCGAAGTGACACACATAAAGGAAAGTAGTTATTGTTACCAAATGAAGTAGAGAGTGGTAACACTACACAGACGATTTTCAACTCACTGATAATTCCTGTGAAGACTAAGAATAGTTATGAGACTGTAAAAGGATCAAATCTCTTGTTGGAATTATATTTCAATCTAATGTGTAAAATGGGTTGTCCTTTAATGTATAGTCAATGTTACAAATGTTATTACAAGTGGTGTTGTTTTATTTTGTCAACAGGTAGGATTTGGTGCTGGGCCTGGAATGGATCTAGCTGGAATGTTAAATAATCCAGCCTTAATGAATATGGTAATTTAGTTTATGGACATTTTGTGCATTCGTTTCAATTATAATTAGGGTTGCCTTATACTGGCTATTTCAATGATCCCACTTTATAATGTATATGAATCAACGACAAACAAGATATTTTATTATTATTATAAGCCCAAACATTCTTGTCAAAATTATTTATTTAACCCAATGAAATGAAATCCACGATTTTTTTTTCCATGTCTTTTTGTCGACTAGTGAAATTGAAAACAATAATTAAGTTTCAAACTCTGATAATTTAAAAATTGCAAAGATTATAATGCAATTGTTCGAAGAGAAGAATATTATATGGAATTAAAAGATGCTATTAAGTGTTGTATTTTATTAACAAAAAGTTTTATTTTGTGTTGTAAATTGCTAATTAGAAATCACTAATGCGTTGGCTTCAAGAACTTATACCCTTTCAATTTATTAATTTTACTTTGGTTAACTTTACAAAAGGAGGGTTTGAAGATAGCGTAAGAAATTGCACAATGTAAATCAAATAGAAAGATAAACTTTTAGTTTGACACCCCAAAATAGAGAATTATAAAAATATTGTTTCCTTATTAATCTAAAATATTTCTTTTAAAAATCAAAATTGATAAGACATAATTGATTCTGGAAATTGTGTATAAATGTTAATAGAATATTTTATTCATCTCAGTTTTTCATTTCAGGCAACACAATTCATGTCTAATCCACAAATGCAGCAAATGTAAGTGTTATGAATTTATACATTTAAAAAACACAACAGCAATGATGAAAATACATTTTGAAGTAGTTTATAATTACCATCATATATAACACACTACACCAAATATATCACACTACATCATATCACACTGTATCATATATACCACATACTTTATTACATATTACACACTACATCATATAATATATACAGTGGTCTCTCTCACATCTGACCTCTGAGTATTCTGGCACTCTGTGAAATCCGACATCATTTTCATGTCCCGATTTATTTCCTTATTATTTCAGCAAAAAAAATCTTTGAGTAATCCGTACTCTGAATATTCTGAATTACGACATCAATCAGCTGTCCCGTCACATGATTTCCATTGAATCAACACTATATAATTCGGCCTTCAATCGGTGGGTGTGAAGCCCTATAAGATTAACCAGCAATCACCAGTCAATTATCGGTGAGATTAAAACTCGCTCGCGTAGGTCTTTGTTGATTACTTTGATAATTTTATAATCTCTTGTAAATTTTCCCACGAATTATTCACAGTCGTAAAAATATTCCTAGCACCTGTTGGAAACATTCGTTGCGCATGCCGATTGAACCTGAATACCTAAGTTTGTTCACCGTACGGATCTATCCGAACCGTGTGACGCCAACCTGGACATAGAACGACAGATTATCAATGAACACGTGACACCAAAGACAAGTGTGCGATCAACTGATACGATGAAGAAGATAAATTAACGACAGACTTGACCTATTCAAAATGCCTACTCATGTTATATGAAATAAAAATTAATGTACCGGTAATAAAATTTTGAATGTACAAAAAGGTTTATCATATTTAAAGGGAATAACGTTTGGGGATTTGAAGCTACATTATAATAATACTTCCGGTTTTCAAAGTTACAATAATACTTCCAGTTTTGAGAAAACCAAGTATTCCGACACTCTGCGTAATCCGACATATTGTAACGATCCTATACGATGTCAAATTTGACAGAGTCCACTGTATAACACTGTATCATACATACCACATACTTTATATTAACACATTACATTATACATATACTACATTGTATATTATATACACCATAGGTACATGAAACAATGTTGGGTGGTCTTGCAAAGTGCTGTTGTGTTTAGAGCTGAGGCTCGCAAGACATCATATGAGCTTTGTAACCCCATAGGTATACCAAGGCTGGGGGTCGACAAACCTGGAAATATAGTCCACCTGTATTTTTTGATGGATTATACATCTTTAATATATGTGACCCGTGCTGGAAAAATGAGTCGGAATGCGCAAATTCTAATAATGAGCAATAGACAAAACAAGTGTAAATATTGATTTTGATCAAAATTGAGATTTTCACAACAATGAGTCTATAAATATACTAACGACCCAAAAGATTAAAATAGCAATAAAACATTTTAAAACATCTTTATTTGGACGTTTCGTAGAGTACTGTATTTATAAATCTGACTTTTTTCTCAAAATTCTCAGCGAAATTAGTTATTTTTCATCGCTCGCAGCGGGACGATCAGTCAATTCTTGTACATAATACTTGGCATCGTTGTAAAGCGGCAAATCTCTAGTTTATAAATATGACCAAAGTATTGTCGGTGAATTCATTTGAACGAATACAATCGAGTTTTAAAACCCCTACAAAACATAAACAAATCCTGCTTGTTGCTATGAGCCCACACAATTCTTTTGCTGATTGGCCCAGCATTATGGTATCATGGCTGTCTCGAGGCTCAAGCTGATGATAGAAATTTGATTTTGGCGATAATTTTTTTGGTAAATGCATCTCTCTCTCAGAAGTGGCAGGAAAAAAACCTTAAAATTCTGATAGTGTTAATCAAAACCATGTGTCGTCATACCACTTATGTAAATTAATCAACACGCAGATTGTGTCATTGAGTAATACTATCAATTGGGAAAGTCTAATGATTAATAGATTGATAATTACCAACAAATCATTATTCAGAATAATTAATCCAAGCGGTGATTATTTTTAGGGCTGCAACGGTGAACTGCAATGAATCGATGAACCGCAATGTTTTAAAAATCCACAATGCACGATACAATCTATGTCCTTATCTCAATTCGTTATCCAAATAATAATTTCACAAAAATAGATTGATATTCCTTTAAATGCGTAAATAAGTCCATGAGCATTATATAGGTGTTTAATATATTGAATTATAGGTGTTCGGGGTCCCCTAATTCAGATATCAACCTAGACTATGTCCGACCAAAGGTATTCCATTATGACCGCTATGTTCAAATTGGCGGCCACATTTGGTGGGACATTTCGATGTTAGTAATGTTGTTATGGTGTAATAGGTTAAACTGTAGATTTTAGGGGTCACTGATTTCATATCTGAACAGCTGAATGTGCTATGATCAAATGAAACGCCAATATGATTCTCAAAATCTACATGATAGCTGAGTTTAGGAGACCATGAAAGAAAACAGTAATGTCCTCGAGGACATTGTACTGCTTTAATAGAACACAAATTTTTCACAGCCAAACACTATCAACCATCGGACCATCGTGGGTTAAAAGCAGGTGTTTCTAAAGCTAAATGGTGCTCATACATTCGTCTTACTCAACCTCATACATTCGTCTTACTCAACCTCACATATTTATCTTACTCATCCTCACTTGGATCAATGAAATACTTGGAGCAGTCTGATTCTTCACTTTCATCCGTATCATTCAATGGGGATGAACTTTGTCTTGCAGTCATTAGTTTACTCATACGCGCAGGCAAAGCAGAGGTTTTGTATCACGTTGGCAACGATTCTTTCCTTCTTAATTCCGAAATGAGCCAGCATTTTGAATTTTGGAACCCTAACGGAAATAGCTGTCACTTTTGGGAGGGATACCCAAGCTCATTGGATTCAGTGGGTCGAATTCTCATAGAAACCACCTTCAAATCGAGGTCTGAGAGAATTTGTCACTAATTTTACCCAACTAAATAACCAGAAAATGCATCATGGTGGCCATCTTAAATATTTAAATTTCCCCATGAGTGCCAGGGTGACATCATCCGGATTATGAATCTACACATATTAAAGATATATAATCCATTAAAAAAACATTAGGTGAACATTCAGGCGTTTTGCTGCTGGACTAATCCCACAGTCAGCCGGCACACAACCTTTTTATGTATCAGCCCTCTCTGGATTGGAACAATGGTGGCAAATTGGCAATGCTGGTCACTGTCAGTCTGCATCTGCTTGCCACCATCCTAGCGGTCCTGATTAGGTTACTAAGCTTATCACTTATTCCTAGGAGAAACACCTTAGATTGGAGTAAGAATGACCCTGGAAGGTCCCATCTGACTGTGCCTATAGCACCCCCACTCGATGCTGGACTAGCCTATCAAACTGGCTGTTCTGGCAAGTTTCCTAGGAAACATTTGTCTGTGAATGATCTTTAGCCCCATGAATAAATGCATTAACAGTATCACTCTTGGTTGAAGTAGATTTTAATCACATTAAATCTTATATAGAGGATATGTGTAGTTATTGATATTATTGAGTATATTAATATATTTTAGGATGACAAGTGTATTGTCTGGTAGTCAAGGTGACATGTCTATGGCTGGTGGATTAAACCCTCTATTACAAGCGTAAGTAAACATATATGTTCATCCATATACCCTGAATAAAGATTTATGAATACATGCATCCAATACATGTACATTAAATTTATATTAGTGTTAGCTCATTCGCCGGTAATACAATTTGAATTATTCCAACAAAATGACTAAAATAATATTTGGTTTACCAGTATAGTGGTGGCCATTTGCCCACACAACAGTTTATCTGACATCATTGTTGTGCTACTTTTTCATTTAAACATGCATTAGTGAAAGACATTAAAACATTTATTACTATTTGTAATAACACAGCTAACAAATTTTGTTACTTTTTTTTTAATAAAAATATGAAAATCTTATATTGTAGTGGTCAACAGTTAGCCAGTCAAATGCAGCAACAGAATCCAGATTTAGTAGCAGAATTAAGACAACAAGTACAAAATCAAGGTAGACAGGACTCGCAGCCCCCACCAGGTAATTTCTTAAACCATTCAGTTCTCATTTCAGTTAAATATACATTAACTTCATACTATATTTGATTTGTAATATTACATTAAAGTGACCATTATTATCTCATTAGTAGGGAAGTGTTTCCATGTAATACTTAGCCTCTGTGTGTCATTTGCATTTTTCAGAAAATTTCACATTTTCCATTACCGTAACTTAAATCCACATTAAAATATAATGATCTCCCAGATTCAATTGGTTTAAAATGATTTTCTTCGAAACATTTAAGAGAATACATAGGTGGTGCTGGCTTGTGCTTACTACATGTATATCCTATATATTGTCTGTACTTGATGTCAAATGTTGACAAATTATCAATTCATAATATCTTTATAAATACTGAATGGGAATGAACCATTTTTCCTTTTAGAGATTCAACATTTAAAATATTGTAGTTGCAAGGGATTAACAATCCCTGAAATGATGATCAGAGAATTTAATGTTGTGACCTTTCTTTTTTCTTTCAGATTCAGAAGGACAATGACGTGATATAAATTTATATTTATAACTTCATGTAGACATAAAATTCAAGCTCATAAACTAATGTCATTATTACCCTCGTGCATGATTTGATTTTTGTTAATACCCACAAATTCGCGTATAGCACAAGTCATTGATTTAATTTTGTCAGTTTTCATTACAAATAGGAAACTGTGATCATTAAAATATCACTAAGCCTTTGTGTTGCTTTTTTTCTCAAGATAAAGCTTCCAAGGTTTGAAACAATTTTTGGCACTTTTTTGTTAAAATCCTGTATAAAATGCCAGTGACGCTAGTAGCTAATGAATATATGTATAATAGTATTTCTATTATTATTGAGATATGTACTATTACCCATTAGTGATTGGTCTAAGATGACTTTCTGCCCAACTGCAATTGAATTAAAAGTATATGTTATTCTTGTTACTTTTAATCGGCTAGTCACTCTGGGTCTGTTACTACAGCATAACAATAACCTTCTAAAGACAGCCAATCAATGAATGAAACATCTTGATTAAATCAAATCCTTTCAAATAATTCCACAGAAATATCTGTATTACAGGTTTTGATTAGTAGGTTGATCTGTATTACAGATTTTGTAGTCTTTAATCACAAAATGTTTGTTACTCAGCGTGCCATGAAAAGAAATGTCTTTAGACCAGGATCAAGTACAGTAAACAATTGATAATTAAAGATAGTATCCCACAAAAGTATTTATCAGGTGGCTATTTCCAATAAAAGTATGGCAATTTTGGGATATATGGAAAAATACTAGATTCCTTGAAAAAATAATCCTTGGAGTTCACGCAGGGCAAAAATGAGAGAGTGTCAATAAATGAAATGAAATTGGGTTTAACGTCCTACTGTTCTGCTCCTACCTGGCTAATTAAGACCGGCATATGCCATACAGTGTGTATGATGGAAATTTTGCATGGGCAGCGGCTCTATGGTCTACTCTTGTATCGAATGCCAACTGCCAAGGGATCTTTTACATGCACGCCAATGTATACACAGGTCCTCGTTTTTTTCGTTCCATTCAAACGACCAGACAGCTGTCCTTGTCAGGCCGTCCGTTCTGCTCCACTGACAAGGGAAACCACACTGGAAAATCCTGATGAACTTTCTTGGCCAATGCAGGGATTGAACACGCGACCTCCAAGCTAGCTCGCCAGCGTCTTACTCACTTAGCCACCCTGGCTCCCAGGGTGTCACTAATTGATAGTCCAGTGCTCGAGTGACGTCAAAGGTTGCATGCGTAGATTGTCGGACGTCTTTGCGTAAGGGAGCGCTTGATGTATATGTTGATAAACTAGGTGATGAGCAGACGTGGAAAAAGTGAGAGACTTAAAAGTACAACAGTTTCTGAGATAAAAAACATGGGAAAGGGGATAATCCGAGAATTTACTTAGGCTTCAGTATTTATGGTAAATGGACAGCGATTAAAGACAACATCATCTTTTATGTGCAATGGATTCTCCTCCGGCTTGGCAACCGTTGCTAGTTACTGCGACCACCAAGTCACCTAACACAAGCATGACTTCTTTTTATAGATTTTTAAAGCTTGAGTTGTTTCCTCACGAGGGGGGTTGGATGGCCGAATGGTTAGCACGTGCGCGCTGTATCATAAGGCCTGTCATTCAGTCAACTGGCGTGGTTTTGAATCCCTGGTTGTACGTGACAAGAATTAGGGTCACCTGTCCAACCTCGAGGGTTTTCCCCGGGTCCTCCCACTGTTATAGACCCCTACATGCAAGCGAATTATTGAAATAAAATTAAAACCATATGCTAGTCCTGAAATGACCTAGTTTGTGTCGAGTGGACGTTAAACCCCGTTTCTCTCTCTCTCGAATACAATTTTTGAGAGGGATTTGAAGTAAATTTTTGATAGATTAACTAGTTTGAATATGTTTTTAGTCTAAATATATCATGAAATCACCCAGTTTGTACATTTAAATTTATTCAGTTCAGAGAGGCAATTGCTACCGTTCTGAAAAATGAGGAGGGTGTTGTCCAAATTGTTACACATTACAGTTTTCTGGAGCGTTGCTATAACTAAATCTACTAATCTATCCTGTAAAATGATATAAACAAATACAATATTAAGTTATTATTTATGTTTCTATTTAATTTCCCCAGAAAATGTCAACTTCTAATCTGACAAGTTGTACCAAAGCAACATTCCAAATATATATATATCATCAAATTGTTCAAAGGAGATTAATATTGGGTGAATTGTCATGGTAGTTTTTTTAGAATGTATTTTGTTTTCTACTATAGTTCAAATTTTTAGGTGTTTATAGTACTATTACATTTTCCCTCTAAACTGTTATGTGTTGACCAACTAATAGGATGGGAATGACACCTAGAATAACCTACATATTAAAGATTATATTTTGGTAATTGTTCAATGTGAATTAAAATTAAGACAATCATGTCAACCATAACAGCTCCCAAAAGGTTAGGAGTGACACCTACATGTAGTTACTAAAGATTATATTTTGGAAATTTTTCAATGTGAAATATGTATAGAAAATCATGTTGACCATAACAGCTCCCAACTGGAAAAATCTTCACTCACTCATAGACAAATGTATTTGGAATCCTGTTACATTAGGGTTGTTTAGGGTAAAAATAGTGTGGTACTATGAACACTAACGATAACTAAAGCAAGCCCTGTTTGTGTTTTTCCAGTAGGCTATGTACATGATAATACTGACTTAAGTTGTTACATTTACATTGTAAAGTATATATTATGTGGTACGGTCTTTTGACAGAAAAAAAAAAAAAATATTGTGAGCATCAATACTTTTGATAGGCGTTGGAAAAAAAAAAAAAAATATTGTGGGCATCAATACTTTGATAGGCGTTGTATCTGATGATTGTTTTGTGGAATTCAGTTTATAGTTTGTTAAAGATGATTCTGATTTTAATATGGCTAAAACTCTTGGATTTGGGTAAAAACAAAGTGTTGATTTAATAAGTTTAATGTGTTGATTTGCTTTGTGAAGGTAGTATTTGTCTGCCATTTTTTGTGGTTGTCAACAGTTTAAGCCAAAAAACAGACAAACTTAATATTCCAAAATGAAATTAAATTGTATAAATCTTGTCCATTCACATACTGAAATAACACATCAGATCAACCCAACTCAACACTTCATTTTGACCTATATCAAAGAGGTTAGTGCCTTTTAGGTTTCTATTGTATACAATGTTTCCAGTTTATAATTTATATCATATAAAGATGGAAATGTATCATATTTATTGCTCCATTGTTGTGTTAAAGGTATTAGGTGTGCCCATATGTAAAGTATTTTTACATGCTAAAGTTATTTTTGTGAAATCAAACAGGCAACCTATAGATTTTGTATTGTTGTTATTAAATGTTAAAGAATTGATAATGTTACTATATTATTATACATACCATGTATATTACTAGCAGTAGTCACTTTAGTATTGTTCATTTCATATGTTGTAAAAGACAATTTGTATGAACTATTTTATTCTCAATAAATCATCCAAAACTAAGTGTTTATACTTTTTGGATCCCAGATTTGGCGGGTATGTTACTTTGGTGGTGCTTATTCAAATAAAGTTGATCATCTGCACAGGGCCGCCGGATATGACATTTTTGCACTGTTGCTTTATTTGTTTGACAATTTCTCATAGATCAATTATGAATATAGATGTATTTATAGCCTAATCCAACCAACCTACTGCTACATTTAGCCTTAACTTAGCAGTAGTCCGCACATTACGTAATTTTGTAGGAATATTTCTGACATAAATTTGAATAGCCTACGAGGAATTAAATATGAAAAATAAAGAGGTGTGGTCTAAAACTGCCTGCTTAATAAATAAAGATAATAGTTATGTCCCTTTATTTTCAGTAGAAAATGTCTGACAAGAAAAATTTTAAAACCCCATCACTGTATTATATCTTATATCTGCAATATATTCATACAAGTGAAATAAAATGTTGAAGAAATTGTTCAAGAGTTCAACTTCCTGGATCAATGACAGGTGGGTATTAATCTCTATCAGCACAAGTAGGTTATTTTGGGACTAATGTTATATATCGTTATTGCTTACAGTCACAAGCAGCTCTATTCCAACACTGGGCAGCTGCCCCCCCTTGTGAAAGCAATCCCAATAATAATGAACCCATAGCATCTGAGCACTCGGAAATTCGAATTTGATAACAGAATAATATTAATTTTCTTTTTGTATGTTTAGGATACTATATTTATTCACATGTAAAATACAATTTTTCATTATTTCCCACTAAAGTTAATTTGATTGTCCATCATTTTGCAAGCTCTCGGCCATAAATAATTTACCAAGACTCTGTGTAGAAAAACTGGATATTTGTTGACAATAATTATCAATTTGACCCGAATATAAAAGACAGTCAAGTCTAGGTGGTGATTGTAATGGTTTAAATAGTTTGTTTAGATCTTCATCAGGAAGTGGAGGTTCACCACGCTGGGCTCTCATAGCATTATCCTGTTGCTGTAAAAATAAAGAACAGTCATTAGAACAATTGACTAGCCAATCCATAAATATCTTTCTTAATCATGAAATGAAATGGAGTTTAAAATCCTACTGTGCTGCTCTGACAGGGCTTATGATGACGGTAATCATAAATGGAATAGAACTAGGGTTAACGAAAACTTTACCTAGGCCAAAACACCCATAACAGCCATATTTCCACCACTGAATTTTAGAATTTCAGTGGACTACCTTTTGTTCTACACCATCCTAACAACTATGCACACTTTCATTTTCTGACAAGTGGGAACAGGATTAGAAAAATGCTTAATTTTATCCCAGAAAATGACTCAACTTAGCAAGGTTTGTTTCACAGAATTAACCATGTTGTTCATAAATTGAACAGAATTCTTTATGAAAAAATAAAATCTTTGTTGAGAGTGTGCATTGTCGAATACACTTTACAGTAGAGAGAGAGAAAAAAAAAAAAATGGGGTTTAATGTCTACTTGACACAAACTAGATCATTTTGGGACTAACATGGTTCAATTTTATTTCAATAATTCGCTTACAGGTAGGGGTCTTTAACAATGGGAGGAAACCGGAGGACCCAAGAGAAAACCCATGAGGACGGACAGGCGACCATTCTCCTGATCATGTATAACCAGGGAATGTATACCATGCCAGTTGACTCAATGACAACCATTGGCCATCCACCCCCTGACCCCACCCCACCCCTATACAGTAGAGGTTCCAAAGCACAATTACAAGCTCCATAAAGGGATTGATTTTCATAACTTACTCTTTTTTGTAAATGTTGTTGTTTAGCCTGTTGTTGTCTCATGATCTGTCTCTGACAATTTAAATATTTGTTTATATCCATTGTAGTAGCATCAACACATTCCATTAACTGTCTCAAGTTTTTCTGTAACATGGAACTGAAATAACACATGGTTCAGAAATATCATCAAAAACAAAATTATTTCACTAAAAAAACAGGGGCTACCAGCCAGGATACGCCCACATTTTGCAAGAGATGGACAGAGAACAAGCTAAAAACAAAACGATTTTTTGTACAATCAGGGGAAATAATCCAGAAAGTTATGGTCTGAAATGCGCAGATATCAAAAGGGACTGAGATCTTTGGGATATAAAGATATGTTTTAAGTTTCATCAGAATCGGATAAAAATTGTGACCTCTAGAGGGTCCACAACCTTCGTATTGCATACTTTTACACAATTTGCGTACAAGAGCGGCCATTTTGTCAGGCAGTTTCATTTCGATTTTCCCGAAATTCGAATTCAACCTTCATTATGGTGGAATGGTGAAATATTTAAACGTTTTTTAAAATTGGAAAAAAAAATTGTGACTTCTAAAGAATCCGCAAGCTAAAAATGCGAATTTTCAAACAATCAGGAGCCATAATTCAGGAAGTTATGGTGCGATGTGCGCGAATATTGAAATGAACCAAGATCTTTGGGTTATAAACTTACATTTCAAGTTTCATCAAAATCAGATTGTGACCTCTAGAGGGTCCACAAGCTAAAAATCAGGGGCCATAATCCATGAAGTTTCGGTCCGGTACATGCCAATATTGAAAGCAACCAAGATCTTTTGGAGATAAACCTATATTTCCAGTTTCGTCAAAATCCGTTAAGAATTGTGACCTGTAGAGTGTCCACAAAAAAAATTGTGGACGGACGGACAGGGATGATGACAATATACGTACACATGAAAATGTGGGCATATAATTAGCTTAAACTTATTGAAAACCAGCGGCTGCCAGGCAGGATACGCCCACATTTTGCAAGAGATGGATAGAGAAGGGGCTAAAAAGAAACAGGATTTTTTGTACAATCAGGGGCGAACATCGAAAGGAACTGAGATCTTTGGGTTATAAACTTACATTTCAAGTTTCAACAAAATCGGATAAAAATTGTGACCTCTATAGGATCCACAAGCTAAAAACGCGATTTTTCGTACAATTAGGAGCCATAATTCTTGGAAGTTACGGTCCGTTACATGCCAATATCGAAAGAAACCGAGATCTCAGGGAGATAAACCTGTATTTCAAGTTTCGTTGAAATTGGATAAAAATTGTGACCTTTAGAGTGTCCACAAACAATTGTGGATGGACGTCCGGACGGACAGGGGCAATGACAATATACATCCACATGAAAATGTGGGCATATAAAAAAACAAGACAAGCTTGTTGGTTATTCGTAATAGGTCCAGTTTCCTTTGTAAAAATAAGTCACGTGGCGAATGAAGACATCTCACTCGACATGGATTGTGAATCCCGGGATTTGCGCCGTCTTTGATGCTCAATCCATACGAATTCCAGGTAGATATTAAAATAATAATTAGATCATACATTTTGTGGTTTCACTGACCAGTTGTTAAATTTAAATAGTCATTGAATAATCCCTGATAGAACACCGGATATCTAGAGAAACAGATATTAATAATATATTTTTCCGTCCGGATCTCAAATGCTTTCCGATTCCCGATAACACTTGACATGCATCGGATGGAATTAGGTCAATAAACCAGCATTGCTAGATTTAGTTTTAAATAGCGTTTTAGTTTTATTCTTTTTATTTCATACACATGCTGACTGGGATTTACTTTTAATAATATTGCCCTTATTATTTAAGGTTATGGCATAGTCTACCGAATTTTATTTTATATAAAGCAATTTCAATTATGGTTGTCACATGATCATTGTGCCGCTTGTCTATACACAAATGAATAAAAACTTTGTAAGTTATGTGATAGACAAAAACAATAATTTGTGTTTTAAATATGAAGAAATGACATGGTCAGTGTCCGAAACAAACATTTTCCAAGCACAGGCCCACAGGACCTGTGTGACATGTGAGTCCTTCAGGTGACACGCAGGCCATACCAATAATATTTATAGTTTCCAAGCGAAGCGCAGGACGATCAGCGGAAAGGAAGTACATATAAAGCGACTGCACATGCGTAAGTATTAAAATGTCATCGATTGACATGCCAGTACATCATAAGACTACGGGTTTAGTAACATGCAAAAAAAAAAAAGACCAAAAAAAAGACACGCTTTAGTGTGTCATTTCAATTTAATGGAAACAAATCTATTCATGGCTACATAATTTAGGTTTTTTCTTATTAAAGATAGGTTCCCAGAAAAGTATTTATCGGGTGGTTATGTCCAATAAAAGTATGACAATTTTGGTATATATGGAAAGTAGAAATATCCAATCTTACTAGAAAAATACTGGATTCCCTGAAAAACACTCATGGAGCGTATACAGGACAAAAATGTAAGGGTTCCCCTAATCAACAGCCCAGCGAAGATCGAGGGCTTAGCGTACATGTTGCCCACGGAAAAAGAAGTGGGCAGTGGATAATCCGAGAATTTAATTAGGATTCGATATTTGTAATAAATAGTCAGTGATTAAAGACAACATCATCTTGTGTATACAATGAATTCTCCTCCGACTTCGCCCCCGTTGCTATAGGTACCGAGAGAGGTAAGTCACGTGACACAAACATGACCTCTTTTGATCGATTTTTATAGCAGGGTATTCCTTGGCAATTACAATGTTTTGAGAAGGATTTGAAGCAAAATTATGATAAATTAATTAGTTTGAATATGTTTTTAGTCCATATATATCATCAAATCACCCAGTTTGTACGCGGGAATGTATCTTTAAACTAGGTAAACTTCAAATAGTTACAAAAGAAACTTGACGCATGGCGATAACGTTGACGAATGGCGTTGGCATAAACACGCTTATCCCGCCCTAGATTGTTAGCACAATAGCCCAGAATTGGGTCAAATGAGGTCTCGTAGGAAATGGTTTTAAAATTATAAGCTTCCATTACCTTTAATAGGAGGTAGACCTACAGCTACACCGTTCGGAAAATTTTCCATATTTAATTCAAGTTTCGGCTTGAATTTCATGTCAGTAATATTCCTGAATAAATTACTGTCTTCGTTTTTTGGATGGATATAAACTGATACAGCACCATGGTATTTCTTCATAACACAATTTGTAGTTTTTGTCTATCACCTACGAGCGTAACTTGCAAATATGTTTTTATTCATTCGTCCATGATAGACACAGGGCACAGTGATCACGTGACAACCATAATTGAAATTGCTTTAAAATAAAATTCTGTACGACTATGCCATATAGCTTTCAATAATAATAACGACAATATGTTTAAAATTAAGCCTCTGTCAGTATGTGTATAAAATAAAAAATCATAACGGTAAACGCTACTTAAAACAAAACCTAGCATCGCGGGTTTATTACCTAGAAATTCCAACCGATGTCACGTATCATCGGTGGATTTTGTCAGAAAAATATATTATTAATGACTGTTTCTCGGTGCAATCGGTGTTCTATCCGAGGATTATATTCAACTAAGATTTAAATTTCACTAACAACTGGTCAGCAAAACCATTAAATGTATGATTCAATTATTATTTTAATATCTACCGGTACCTGGAATTCATACGGAGCGTTGAAGAAGCGCGATTTCTGAAAGAGATGCACAATCTATGCCGAGGTATGGCTGTTATTGACATTATAGCCAGCAAGCAAGTTGATTGACTATTTAATCATTAAGTAATAATTAACCCGTTAAATTTAGCCGAAAGTAGATTGATCTATGATACCATAGTGCCTGGTTCATTGTTTTACCAATCGGCTTGATTGAAGTTCATGCGGCTAAAGCCGACAAAAAAACAGCAACAAATCAGAGGCTGGTTACGCGAGTCAATGTTTAGAAAAACAGCAGCTTCCGTCATGTCGATGACAAGTAAACAATAACCGTCAACTGTCGGAGAATCGGAGGTTGTGTTTCTACGATCGTTCTACATTTCCAGAATTGTCGTATGTGGAAACTAACTATGCGAGATAAGATGGCGAAGGCCCGGCAGATCCGAATGAAATAGGCAAGCAGGAGTCCTCCGATAAATCAGTTGGCCTTGGGCCTACGGACCGCCGCTTGTGTCGAACACTGGACATGGTGTCGTATCAGCTTATTTTGGCTACTGCATTTTCTGATACTGGCCGTAGTAGAAAAATCTTAATTTTGATCGACTGATGATATCTATTTATCCATCGTGTAAACAAAGACAGTAATTTATACAGAAATATATTACTGACTTAAACCGTCAAATATTAGCCTATTCAGAAAAGACATTCTCTATAACAAATTACCAAAAAATATATTTGTTGAAGTCTGGTTATGTTATAGTTAACGGGAGGCTCTACCGGGACCTCATTTGACCCAATTCTGGCAGGTTGGTTTTAAAATGGATTAAAATCCCTGTTCTTATCACCAATGCTAAAAAAGGTCACAAGACATTCAGGAGAGTGATTTATCCGTTTTCCAATTTCAGGAGCTTTTTTTTTGACTCTCCAGGAATTTATTCACATGAAGGCCTGCAATAGCGCTGTCCAATCAGAGGTTGTGACACACACACACAATGAAATCAAAAATGGTGACCTCCACGGAAACCTTGACATTTAACGAACCTTGATTATCATAGGTATACATTTTTTTAGCTGGAAATCGCTAGACTTTGTACATGTATTTGCGATGATATTTTCTATCGAGGAATCTGGGAAGTCGCCAGCTGGGTCAGTAGCTAATCGGAATTAATGACGAAATATGCAGGGCTTTGCATGAAGGGCTTGATAAGATGTACGCAGTTACAGCGAGATCAAGCCCTCTATTGAATTTGTGGTAATGATAAAACATCAAAGGGATAGCTTCCCGCCTGTCAACAATAAAAATCACATTCTCCCGCCATTTCTATAACTAGAGTTGAAAATAAAACTATCTATCGGGAACTTATGTGACGTACCTTGTAGCTAAATCTAGAAAATTAAATTTATCAGCTTCTTTATCTTTTTCCTCTAAATTACAGAGGAGAGAATTAACAAGATGAGAATTTTTAGTAACCACTGGTATTTCTTCAAACATTTTATCAAATGTCATTCCGTGTTTGGTAATGTTTTCTGTAGTGAAATCATTTTCACTGTGGAATTTCATCATAGCTGGTGTAAGACGATATGCCTTTACAGATAAAAACCCTTGTGTTGTCTTCAGGGGGTCTGAAAAATGAAATGGTATCAATTTTAACACTCCTTGATGCTTTAGTGATAAATAAAGATGTAAGTTCTTATGGGTTTCAACAGAAAACATATTTTTTGATACAGAGAGAATCTCCTACCAGTCTTTTTTGATATCAAAATAGACGAGTAGGAGATTTTATTTATCACCCAATCCCTTCTTACATGCACAACTAGATACATATAATTCTTTGCTGTAGATTTCACTTTTACTGAACATTACGGCGTAGTGATACATCATTTTTTGACAGCAATTCAACCATTGCAAAGTCCTTTATATTGACCCAGTGTTTCCATCAAGGTCAATTGAATAACAATAGCTCATTTTTAATTTTAAAAAAGTTATTTTTAATAAGAAATGAACTGTTTTTTGAAAATAAAAAAAAGTAGTTCCTTTTCAACTGACCAATCAAATTCATGTAGATTATGAAATATATCACACAAGCGATATCTACTGTAGAATGTATAATTGGGTGATAAAATATCTTTAATGCTTTATCAGCTTATCATTGACCATTTAAATGTATACCAAACTTCATTAAAAGTTCACGGTAAACAATATTTAAAAAATCTGCAACTTTCCACATTACCAATAGTCACTTTTCAATTAAGTGATTTGATGAACTGTATCTAATTCCACCCTAGGGAACTTACCGTAAATGAGAACAACTGATTCTTCTATAGAATCCTGGTAATTATACTGAGAATCAATCAATGGTCTATTGATAAATGTGCCAAAGTAAGTGCTCTGATACCAGCCAACATGTAAATGATCTATGTTGACATGACGCAAATTACGCATCATTTCCATCTGATATTGAACTGGAAAAAAAAAAAGTTCAGAAATTATAAGGATAAGTGCCCAGTGCCCTATATATTTTATTGAAGGAATCTGGTTAATTGGGACATGAAAGGCTCTTGCAAACATTTACTGAATGAAACTTTTCAATTAGGGGTGAAAGACTCTTGCAAATATTTATCCAGATACTGTAACTATATTATCTGAAACAAATAAGAGCGTACTATGGACCAGAAACTTAGAATTACATCATCACAGCTATCTTGGAATTGCGACATCATATCAAAAATCAAAGTATGTCAATCCATACAAAATTGTCAAAGGAACAAGCATACCAATTTTCATATCCATTTTACAAATTTCATGCCTTAGTGATTTTTCCTAGAGTGTTTGGGGTGCAGTTCCTGGTCTAAAAACAAATAGATCGCTAGCGACAGAAAGCGATATCAACACCAGCTAACCATACTAACCTTCATTGAAGTCTTCTTGATCTTCACTGTGACGTGGAAAAGGAAAACAATTAGTAATTTCTAATCGATTGTCTACTACCAGTCCTAATAAAACACCCTGCACCAAATCAGTTCCTCCTGCACCTTCCTCTTGACAATGTTTGATTAATTTTAATACAACCTAAAACAAAACACTCACAATAATTACAAAGCTTTGAATTTGGAGAGGATTTCAGTAACAAGTTTATTAGTACCTGTATGTTCCAGTCTTGTGAGAGGGTTGAAAAGTTTTGAGTATCAGTAATAGGGTCCCCCACCATAAATAAATATCTCCAAATATTTTGACAATTATACCACAATAGAAAGCCTTTACTTAGTTTCTCACATTCAGTCACTAAATAAACAGTTATGATGTATTTCATGAGTTATAACCATTTAAACATCAATAAAAAAAATAGACTGAAAGGGTAAATGTGAGCGATCATTACATCTGGGCATTTTTAGCACAAAATAGGTTACTTGTCTTTGGTTTAAAATCAGTATGGCTAAGGCTGTTCTCCGGCTAATTGACACTCAGGCCTGGATAATCAAGACTATTTTCTACGAAACATGTTTATGGGCCAGATGGGCCATAACTCTAGATGAAATTAACGGAAATTGTTGAAATTCAATAGGATCTTCTTTTTACTAATTTAAATGACGCATATATACATTTCATACAGATCGGCAGATAACTTTTGATGTTAGAGTGTTCACAAGGTGCAACAAAGTGAAACAAGAGCCATAACTCTAGAAGTAATTTTATTTCACAAATTTAAATAATGCATATAAATTTCACAAAGATCGGATGATGACTTTTACTTTTGGCGTGAAACAAGGGCCATGACGGAAATTGCTGAAATTCCATAGGGTTCTTCTTTTTACGAATTTAAATAATGCATATAAATTTCACAAAGATCGGATGATGACTTTTGGCGTTAGAGCGTTCACAATGTTCAACAAAGTTAAACAAGGGCCATAACTTTAGATGTAATTAACGGAAATTGGTGAAATTCAATAGAATTCTTCTTTTTACCAATTTAAATAACGCATATAAATTTCATACAGATAACTTTTGATATTAGAGCGTTCACACGTTGCAACAAAGTGAAACAAGGGTTATTACTCTAGATGTAATTAATGGAAATTGCTGAAATTCAACAGGATTATTCTTCTTTTTACTAATTTAAATGACAAATATAAATTTCATACAAATTGACATATCTTTTGATGTAAGAGCATTCTCAAGCAGGGCTGCCGACAACCAGTATCGCAGCGCAATTTGCGATACATATTTTGTCCGTTGCTAATCAAAAATTAAAATCTAACGTTTTTGATTCGCAGTAACTGCGAATCATTAATATGCCTGTCATTTTGGATATTGACACAAAGATAATCCACTTTCAACGTGTATAAAATGCAGAATAAAATTTTATAAACAAAACTGAATTCTCCGTGTGACATTTTCTTCTCGAACTACCCAGACACAATTCATTATACTACATGTATATAATAAAGGGACATAACTCTATGAATAGCAACTATTAAACCGGAAATAGGGAATCAAGTAGTACCACTCACGTTGCGGGACATGTCAATTTCAAGTAATTATATCAGAAAACATTTTGAAAGAAATAAATCCAGTGTATGCCCGCGTATTAAAAATAAAATTTATAAAAATAAATACATCTGAACGTATTGTAACATGATAAATCAAAGTAAGAATTCCCGTAAAATATTATTGTTCATATTGCGTGTGTCTAGTTAATAATAATAAAGGTGCGCGCGATTGAACCAAAATAGTAATACACGATAAAAAGCTGACGAAATTGTTTTCTAAAGAAGATTTCTAACGTAACAAAGAAATAACAATTAAAATGAGTAGGGCTTCGGAAGTCACTGCCAAGATTTGGCTTCAGACATTCACATTCACAAACTGTCACAACTACATGTGGCAGTGCTAAAAAAAATCTAAGAATGAAATCTAATCATCATATTTGTTATGAATTAAAGTAATTTCTTGTTATTTAGGTGTTTTATGTTGAAACTGAAAAACTGCTAATCAATTTTTAAATTTGCTAATCAAATTTGGCGAAATTGGACTTTTTGATTAGCAGTGCTGCTAATCAACTGTGAAAAATTACCGACAGCCCTGTTCTCAAGGTGCAACAAAGTGAAACAAAGGGCCTAATTCTATAAGTAATTAATGGAATAACCAGACGCTAGAAATTGATATTCGACTGAGACTTCTGGCGTATTTCGCCGAACATAACTGATTTGAAATTAGAGTAAAAAACGGAAACGATGAATGTAAATCAGTTCATACATTCAGATAACATTATTGTATGCGTTGCGACCCATTTGTGTCAATTTCTAGGTACCAAATATTAGCGATTTAGCTCCTTTAAGCTGTAACGACATTTCGGACTCAGTTCAGCAACAGTTCGGTTTAACTTGATGACTATTCGGACCAAAAATGACCTGAGAATGAGCAAAATTGGCCAAAAATCACTCAGAGACTGTATCTCAGTAACACTCAATTCCTGAGATTGGCTCTTCTGGCTGTGAAGTTGCCTGGAGGAGTCCATAAAATCCCCCTATGGGTAGGGTTGTCACGATTAATCGGTTTAGTCGTAGTCGTTTCGGTTTGTAGTCGTTTCATCTAATTTATATTGTTACAATTAAATGTACATATAATGTTTAACTTTAACTGTCTGCTAAACACACTACTGAATTGCTGCATATGTATTGAAACTACGTCTTTTAAGGCTCAATACAGAAATTCCCATTTACAGTGGCACGACCTTGATGTCGCATGGAATTCCTCGCCTTCCATATTAGGAATATATAGCTATAAATAGCGATAAATGTGTAAAATGGTTGATTTTGGCGCGAAATAGCTGTCAACAGCCACATACACCAATAACAGACATGATAATATCACGGACCTTATAATACATGGACTGAATGCATGCCGCACGAGATGGAGAAGTTGGTGATGCCTTTTTACGAGCGATAAACTACCAACAATATAATTGAAAGATTCCTTCACAAATTCCTCATGTATAAAATAATTTTAAATTGAGTTGTAATTTGTTATTTAATTCACAATCAGAATGTGACGTTACTGTGTCCGAGACGTGAATAAACAGTTCCCCAAACAGACATTACCTGTCAGGAGTCTCTTCTGTTCTCCTCCCTCGGCGTATGTTGCTGCCTTTTTTAAAGACAAGTGTTTTGTTTTTTTATTTGTACCATTTTGTGCGGGTTCTCTTGTTGTTTTTCGTCAATATGATTATCGCTATATATGTTAAAATATTATGTACGGGAATTGTTGTACTACTGAACTGTAATCTATTACCAGTATTGGATTTTTAATTAGCAGTAAAGCTGTAGGGGTAAGTCAGAACAAGGGGATATCTTACTCATCCCCAACTCGTAACTAAATATCAAAACTAATGACTTAGTACATGTTGTTTATTGCCAATTTAAAAAAATGTATTCCAACATCTCTTTAGCTCAAACTCAAAGAAATTTATTAAAATAATATACGGTCAGCTATTCAGTGCTCACGCATATCAACAATCACAAGGGAAAACCTACTGTAACCAGTACAGATAATGACATTATTAGCCAACGAAGAAAACATTTATTTTACATTATTATAGAATTTTTACGGCATCCGATTAATCGGCACCGATACGATTTGGTACTATTTCAGTAACGTACCTCTACCAGTTCCTTTGATCGTAGAGACTTGAAATTTTCAGGGGGTGTTCATGGGGACTAGATATGACCTCACACCAAATTTCAGCCGAATCGGTCAATAACTTTTTATTTAACCGTAGTTTAGGTTCTATAAGAGATAAGTTTATCCGATTTTGACGCCATTATGTTTGTTGACTATTTAGGCTCGAATGGCGTCATATGGGGATTGTGGGTTAGGGTAAGGGCTAGAACCTGTAGATTTCGTCATAGTCTCAAGATGTTGACAGGGCTAGCCCTAACCCTGTCTTGTTATAGTCTAAATAGCCAACAAACAAAATGGCGTCAAAATCGGATAAACTTATCTCTTATAGAACCTAAACTACGGTTAAATAAAAAGTTATTGACAGATTCGGCTGAAATTTGGTGCAAGGTTATGGCTACGCACCATGAACACCCCCTGAACATTTCAAGTCTCTACAATCATGGGAACTGGTAGAGGTACGTTACTGAAATAGTACCTACGATTTTTGGCTAGCCGATTAACCGATTCAAGAATTTTGTAATCGTGACAACACTAGTTTCTATGGCTATATAAAACCAGCTACAAAAATAAAAGTTCTGAATCGATTTTGACAATTTAAACAGATTAATGATTCTCGGGATTTTTTCTAACTGTGCGCAAAATTTCAGGTCTCTAGCTCAAAAATTTAATTTAATTTAAAAGCCGTAACTGGAAAGACGATGAAAAGCAGACTGATGTCTTGGGACAACAGTCCAACCCAAGCCGTGTTCCGGAGTCATGTTCTGGGTCTACAATGATGATTATGATTTAGAAATGGAATTAGAAATGTAACGTTAAGAGAAATCATATTCATACCAAACCGTCAAGTTGAACATATTGTACAGGTGCACGCTGTTTTCTCGTCGCCATCTTGGTTTGTCTTCCGGAAGACTTAGATGATAGTCACGTGTACACAATTATTATTAAGCATTTTATTTTTCATCCACAACAGTCAGGTGATATGCGCATGCGCCACAATATTGGCAGAAATTGACGACCGTCTCTCTGCACATTCTCCACACAAGGACACAGCTAGATCACTAAAGATTTCCCCATTGACTCCAATGTTAATTCTCGTATCTTAGACCGGCTCTAACTTTTTCCCAAATTTTCGTTGGGTAGAACGCTTTCTACCACAGATGGAGCAACATGTGGCAACCACTTGCCCAAAAGCACGTATGAGGTTCTTCATGAAAAACTTGAGATACACAAGCTGGAAGTAGAGACAAGTAAACATGCAATTTCAGGCCCTCCATTTCAACCTAACCAACCTCTCAACTCTTGTATCCTTCCGCATCAAAATTATGAATATTCACCAAAACCTGGCAGAAAATGTATTTTCAAACCCTTTTCCTCGATTGTACACCAAAAAGTCAACAAAAATCGCCATGCAAAAGGGGGAAAAAGGAAAAGGGAGAGGAAGACTAAAAATAGCTTTGGCCTTGGTGATCTGTGTCCTATATGTCTCGCTACAATCTCCCAAACAGAGTTGTCTTCCCTTGCAGCACTAACCAATGCTGGATAGATGGAAATGAAATTGGGTTTAACGTCCTACTTGTCTGCTCCTATACTGGGCTAATGAAGACGGGCATACGCCATACAGTGTGCTATGAGGGAAATTTTGCCCGGGCAGCGGCACTACCGCCTACTCTTATATCGAATTCCAACTGCCAAGGGATCTTTTACGTGCATTCTAATGTATACACGGGACCTCGGTTTTTCGTCTCGACAGCTGTCCTTGTCAGGCCCTCTGTTCTGCACCACTGACAAGGGGAAACCACGTCGGAAAATCAGGATGAACTTTCGGGGCCAATGCAGGGATTGAACACCCGACCTCCAGGCTAGCGAGCCAGCGTCTTAACCATCTAGCCACCGTGGCTCCCAACTCTGTTTGGGAGATTGGTCTCTGCAATGATGACATCGCACTCGGCAAACCTCGGATATTCCGTTACTCTACATCTAGCTGAAGGGTACTGCAATCTGCTGAGGTTTAACGATTTAGCTCCTTTAAATAATCAATCTAAGAACAATTTATCGTACATTAATTAAGCCGTGAAAAATTAGATAAAGTCTATTGTCGATTAGCGGCACGATCAATTAGCTTAGCATATACCTACTGGTAATATCAAATTAATTGTTATGGTATGTAGACATTTTAAATTCAAAGAAACGTATCTAGGACGTTAATCCCGAAAAGGCCTAGTTTGTGCCGATTGGGCGTTAAACCACAGTTACTGAAACATTTTTGTTGATATAGTCCGTACGGTCCTAAAACCTGAACTGCCATAGATCTACGGTACAATAACAGGTTAGTACAAAATGGAAAGCCGGGTATTTTTTTCGTCTTCTGTTTAATGTGTTTCTTGTCATTGTTCAGAAAATCTTTCCCAACAATATGTAAAATTCTATAAATTCAGAACGATATTCATACCCACAACAAACGTATATAACTACAAAAATAGTAATTTACCGTTCAAAACGTTCAACTTTGTAACTCATCCCAAACTTAGGCTGCCTGTCTACAGCTAGCTCCGCCTGAGAACAGGCCCTAAGCTAATTACCCGACATTTTAATTCCTACATCTCGAAAACACTGAGTATGCTTTTAATAATTTTTAGAAGTATTTGTTTCTCTTCTATTGTCATATTGAATGAAATTAAATATGTTTATTTAGCCGCAGAGTGTATGAACGATGTCAAACTAATCAAAGCCGAATCACAAAATGGTCCACTAATTATTCAATATGGCGGTGCCCATGAAAGATAATTTCACAGAGGAGGTTTTGTTTGCGAAGACAAATTTAGGAGTATCTAACCTTGTTTTGAAAGATAAACAGATTGAAACTCTAAAGACAGTTTACAATGGCAAAGAATATATTGCAATATTACCCACTAGCACATATTATATATCGCTTTTACCGGAGTGGCAGAAGTTGACATTTTGCCTATGACACGTGGTTACATAAAACACGTGCTTGATCGGGTTATTTTTACTCTGTTGTGTACACAAAGCAGTCGATAAGTCCCACCCCAAAATGATCACGTGGGCGTTTTAAATAGAGGCTAACTAGGGCAGTGATCATTATCTCGAATAAAATAAAACCAAGTACGAACAATCCAAACCATTAGACAAAATTCGAAGTCCTAAAAAAACGGTACAGGCAAAATAGTGTAATAAGGAAAAATAGTGTAATCAGCATATGGACTACGTAGATGGATCGCTGCGTGCAATTTGCTTTGTAACTTTGGCAGCCATCTTGTTACGTCATATATGTCGTGAACTCGATATAATTTTAGCTACCCCAGTTCTCCAGTAGAAATCACGACTTCCGAGCCAGTTTTTGTAATTACGAGCGCTATTTACCAATTCGTTAGTCGTATTTATCATAAATCCGAGGAGTAACGAATACAGCATTACCACTGATCGCACTCGGCAAACCTCGCCAGATTCCGTTACTCTACAGCTAGATATAGGGCACTGGAATCTGCTGAGGTTTGCCGTGTATCGATGTCACCAATGACGTCATTGTATGACACAGGCTATATGTGACGTATTACACAATATTTTTAACGCGTGATCTAGTGAAACAGTTAAAGATACATAATGGTAGATTAGATAACGAGTTCGCAGTTCTCACTATAATAGTTAAAAACTAAATAATGTAATGGCAATTTGCTGAAAATTTTATTCAAATTGATCCACTATGAACCGAGAATTAAGCGATTGCAATTTCCGCCTAGCCTCGATCATCATTACTAAAGTCAGTGCGATAAACAGCATAGTCTCGATTATCCATTTAATCATTAAAGGGACTATCCCTTATTTGAACAGTCTCAAAAATAAAAGTCTGAGTATGTATGAAATTTAAACGCCAAAATATAGAGGAATGGTGTATTGACCGTATCTCAAAATTTCAGCTCAATATATTGAGTCGTTTGGACGTGACCGTCAAAACTGCTTATCCGGACACGTATTTAAGTTTTCGGGTAAATTCTTTCGTTGGGAGACCTGATAATCGATGCCCGTTCATTGAGAGGTCTATACAGTGAATGACCCGAATGCTGTACTTGATAACGAAAGGTAAATTTCACCTACACATTATTTTTATACAAAAAATGTCTGGTTTTATCTAGACACAGCATAATACAGCTTGGGACACTGGTCTCCATTTCCAGATGAAGACTGACGGGTTTCAGTTGTTTGAAAACTTATCACAAATGTTGAGTTAGTTGCCCGACCCTTAGGTAGAGGTTTTTAAGGGATTTTAAAACAATATTAAACAGTTTTATTCTCCAAAAAACTATCGGGATTAGCCCTTTAAATCGTGAAGGAAAGTTATGCAGTTTAAATCGGCTCATAATCCACTAAAGATCGCAGGCTAGCGATGCCATCGAGAGTTGATAATGGTCTAGATAGGTTAATTAATGTCTAATTAATAATATAGAATGCCTAAATAAAAACCTGCAATTATAGACAGATTTAGCTCTTGCATTAGGCTTTTTATCGACCACTGATTAGCCAAAGTGCTATGCATTCAATCAAATTTTCATCTTTAAAGGAGCTAAATCGCCAATATTTGAGACCTAGAAAATGGGTCGCAACGCATATAATAATGTAATGTGATGTATATAAACTGATTTACATTCAATTGTTTCCGTTTTGACTCTAATTTCAAATCAGTTAGGTCCAGCGAAATACGGCATGAGTCTCAACCGAATAGAAATTTCTAGCGTCTGGTTATTCCAGTCTATATGCTCTCCAGATAAATTATGGCGTCGCCGTATGACATGTGTTGTGGAATATGTCTAGCCTCGCTCTTTCTGGTCACTTGTTAAAATGACGATGAAACGCACTATGGTACACGATTCGTGTACCAATGGTAAAATGTTTATTTTGTCTTAAATATTGGATATCAGAAGCATACCTATTCCCGGTAAGATAACAACATCAATGTTGATTTGAATTGACAAATAATTCGTGTTTTCAACGTGTAAGACTTTGGATGATACTGGTTAGAGACTTAGCTACTTTAACTAACGTCCATCTAATTCAAATTGGTTACCCTAATCAACGAATTTATCGACACCGATTTCCGAAGCGATTACATCAAATCGCCAAATCACTTCAGGGTGCGATTTGACGATTTGATCGGGTGATCACGTGTTTTTTTTCAACTCGCCAAAGTACTTTGAAATCGACTATACTGTCACATGACATCTCCACTAAATTCAAATCGATTTGGCAAGTCGATAAAAAAGCCTATAATGTATGTTTAAATTTGAGCCATGCGCACACCACCTGGCTGGGGTGGATGGAAAAGAATGGCTACCAAATAATCTCTATCGAGATCTGCCTGGGCCCCAGTCTGGATGTAAAAATATCCCAAAAGAGGAAATAGACCGACTGTTCTAGACTACATCATTTACTAAATTTATCATACAGCATGCGAATAATTTAATTGTTAGTATAACTTCATTGGACATTGTGTGATTAATTGTTCTAAAATGTATCCAGACCTCGATAGCTGGTCCGATAGACGGCTAGCACGATTTATCATTAACCCAAATCCACCATTATTTCAGCTTATAAGACTATAATTTATATCAATATTTGATACTCTGACTCAGATCATACTGTTCAGTGTTCTTTATCTTACCCGGCCGTAGCCTATGTCACATTGTCATTTTGAAGGACAATATTGGTGCCAGTCATTATCACATATGTGATAGAACTGGTTAAACACTTCCAAGTATTATTTTATCACAGTGATATCATTGCTACGATAGATGCGTAATCAATGATTCAGCAATCGGAAGTGACGAACGCAAAAGGAAAACACGAGTTATCCCTCTGTATAACTGACTGAAGTGACGGGTGATAACAGATACATGGGCGAATTTCTGCTCACTAATAATTCCTTTGAAGACCAAAAGTTGTTGTGTGAGACTTTGAAAGGATATCTGACAATTCATAAAAAAAACATAGTGTATATTTTGCCGTCCGACGGTTCATTACATTATTTACTATTTAGCCGTAGGCCTACTTCCGTTCAACGTGCGCAGTTGTCGATTTCTCGCGAGATCTCATGCCCTTATCGCGTGATTAAATATGTCGACCGAAGAAGATGTTGACGGCTAGTGCGTTTACTAAAATGATGTTTCGGGTGTAATTGGAAGCGAATTTGACTCTTTTCGAGCAGGGTTAGGGTTAGGGTAAAATAAAATTCGTCGTGAGACGGTAAAATAGTTGAACTGACCGACGGCAATTAATGTCAGACGGTAAAATAGCCGGCATCATTGCCAAAGCGAAAACCGCTAAGTCCAGGAATCAGACAACTGCGCATGTCAAACGGAAGTGACGGGTAAATAAAGTAAAGAACCGTCAGACGGCTGAATATCCACTGCGTAAAAAAAATTGACTGTCACTAGATAAGAGAACATGAAAGAAAAATAGAAAAAGTCATTGCATTACCATGTTTTTATAAGTATAGAATGAATAAACACACGTGAATGTATCACCGGCATTTTTTGGGGCTATTCTGCGTTCGAATATGCACCCAGGTGATACATATGTTCATATGTAATATTTCATACATATGGAAGAGCTAGGATTGGGGGTGTATAGCTCGTTACTGGAGAAGTATTCTGGTGAAGGCGGTCACTGTTCATTAAAAAGCCAATTCCAAATTCATTTCAATATTACTTTATATACAGTTTTAAAAATACATTATTTACAAATTATATACAAGGCATTCGATCTCCTTGTCTGTGTGTCTCTAATTTCATCTGCCCTCTTGTCTGTGTATAGAGGTCTTTTAAAGTAACTAATTTGTATACAGACAAAAGGACAATGATTTCAACAAATCAAATTAAAGATAAAAATATTGTAACACATCAAATGAAAAGAAGTTAAATAAATATATAAATTTCATTGGTTGAAAGTTTCATAGTGAAATATAATTTATAGGATCTAATAAGCTTTAAGCCATAAAGAATTAAAAAGCATTGACACTTGATTGGCATTGATCAGACTGCATTGTTAACTGTATAAATCTTTGCTCAAGGTTTCTCTTAATAAGCCTACTGGCATCCAAAGATTATAAAACAGTCCAAACCAATCATGCTTTTAGGCAATTACTTTTTATAGACTTTAAATCAAAATATTAACACTAAAAGTAAAGAAAGACCAAATGATAACCTTACTATTAGCTATATTGTCTATATACTTTAAGAAATAAATTCTGTATATCCTTAAAATAAAATTTGAAAAAGAAGTAGAATTTAGTATCACTATTCGGTGATAAATGTACGGACTGTTTCTATTTTTCTCGTGTTCTTTCTCTTGTCTAATGATATTCAATTACTTTTTTGAATTGTCAGATATACTCTTACAGTCTCATATAACAACTTTTGGTCTTCGAAAGAATTATTAGTGAGCAGAAATTCACCCATGTATCTGTTATCACTTGTCACTTCAGTCAGTTATATAGAGGGATAACTCGTGTTTTCCTTTTGCATTCGTCACTTCCGATCGTTCAAGCATCGATTACGCATCTATCGTAGCAATGATTTCTGAGATAAAATAATATTTGGAACGTGTTTAACCAGTTCTATCACATATGTGATAACGACTGGCACCAATATTGTCCTTTAATTTACTAATACTATTCAGGAACGCTATGGTGTCAAAATGTCCCTCAAAACACGACTTCCTAGCAAGTTTGGAAGTTGTAAGGTAATCCACCATAATTTAAAGATACATTATGTAAGATTTAGATAAAGAGCTGGCCATACTCTATGTATCCCCAGACCTAGATAGCTGATCCAATAGATGGGTAGCACGATTTACCCAAATCCACCATTTTTTCAAGTTATAAGACAATAATTTATATCGATATTTGATACTCAGATATCTTATCAGTAGGCTATGCCAAGTTGTCATTTTTAATTTACAATCGTAACATTTTGTTAGGCTATGTTAATGTATGATTTGTTTGTCTGACACATCAGACTGCTTGTGCTACCATCAGATTATTTACTGCTGGTTGACAACCAAAAGAGAGTCTACAGTTGGACTCTTAATGATGTTCAGTTGGGAAGAAAGGCGTACCCCGAATGCCTTGCCCCTGAGAGTTCAGCAGTAAGCAGAGTTAACTATGGCACTAGTTACATTTTACATTGCATGTTCATAGAAATTATGATTAAATTTATGTTTTTTTTATGCTTTTCAGATATAATTGAAAGATGAAGATAAAAAGACAAAAGACTGCATATAAGATTTTAAATTTTTATAAAAATACATATGGAATTGATTCACCATATAAAGTTTTAGTTGATGGTACATTTTGTAAAGCATGTTTGTCAGCCAAGGTTAACATTATGGAACAGCTTCCAAAGTATCTAGATTCAGACATGACACTCATGACAACTTCTTGTGTTTTAGCCGAGTGTAAAGCATTTGGTAATTATTTATTAAAGTTTTAATTTGTTGAAGAGAGTTTCCAACAACTCTGTATGTTCGTTACTATTGTACAGTTAATGTCAATCAGAAGTCATGTAAATTATGCGTAAATACTCTAGGGCAGTGATTCTCAACTAATATGCCGCGAGATCTTAATTCCTTAGTGTACCGCAATATTTTGAATGGCACACTAAGAAAATGCAAAAAAATGTGTGATCCCAATTGAGTATTCACTGTTGTCTACTGGTAAGTTCATAGCTGTGTTTTTCTTTATTTAGTTTGAGTCATTCTATGTGTCTATGACTAGTCTGTGTCTACGGTTGTATGCCGACTATGACTTCCCATGTTTTTATTTTGCAAAATTCAAATGTTTTTCATATATATTTCGCCAGGTGCCACTATTTTTTCATGTGTTCCAAGGTGTGGTATTGGTAAAAAAAAGGTTGAGAACCACTGTTCTAGGGTGAGAGGACTGGATATTGCAGATTTATCCAAGTAGACCAATAGGGTCATTCCATGTCAAGTGGGCCAGGGGTGGGAAATTGACCCCCTCAAAAAAATCTGGAAAAAATATATGTTATTGTACATGTATGTAAAAACTAGAAAATTGTGATCTGTAGCTTGAAAATTGACATAGATACGGGCATTTGAGTTTCATGAGTTACTGATAAGTTTTCAAAACAAATAATGCCTGCCATTATTGAAATGACCATAACCCAGTAACCGATAGGTCAAAAGTGCTGGAATAAGTATTTCTGGAACAGGAATTCCACCAGCCACCAGGATTCTAACTCTACAATTATTTTTGACACCCAGGAGTGTTTTAAAGAGTGAAGACCTTTTGACTTTGATTTTGACCGTGTAGACCATGTGACCTTGAGATGAACTTTCATGAAAAATTTAGCTGAACATGTTTTCTACACAATGTATAATATCTTTTATAAGCATGTAAAATCAAGTTAAATATTCACACTTGAGGCTGAAAATCAGCGTCTTTGCATTTAAATTCAGGATTATGTTCATGGATAAACTCTTTCGGATACGTAGTAATCTGCCGCAGACTTTCCTAAAGATAGATTCAAACAGCAAGACATCCTCTTTCCCATTCCAGAAATACTCAATTTTGACTTATTGGTTACTGGGTTATAGTCATTTGAATAATGGCGGCCCCACCCAGTTGGGTGGACTGTATCTCAGGAACTGCTGGTCGGATCAAGCTAAAATTTGGAATATCAGCTTTTTCAGCTCTAATAAACATATAAACCACATTTCAGCAAAATCGAAGGGGGTATGGTTTAAATCATTGGGTGATAATTGAATTGGAATGACCCAAAACACAGATTTTGAAAATATGGAAAAAATATCGAAATGGCATGGGACAAGAATGGCCTTAATATATGTTGGAGACATTAGTACAAACTATAATTACACCAAGTTTCAGATTTTAAGGTGCTCATCTACCGGGTTCTTGTGGCTCGAAAATACGAGGCAATTTTCGAAAATTTGAGCCTGAAACCATATTTGAGGCCAATTTTCTGGGAATCTATTGAAGACTGATGCGTTTTCATGTTTCTTATGTAGTACTACCGGCAATCCCTGGATAGGCTAAAATTTGCGTCTATATCTATTACTTTGTAGCTCGTGGAGCACTACAAAATCCAGAAAATATACAATCACACCAATTTTTTATACGCCCACATGGAAATGTGGACGTATATGGGCTTTGCCCCTGTCCGTCCACAATTTCTTGTGAACGCTCTAACTCCAAAAATTATTATCCGATTGTTTTAAAATTGATATATGTGGTTTACATTAGTGAGATGAAGAAGCCTATTTAATTTCTGTTCATTACGGCTAGAGTTATGGCCCTTGTTTCACTTTGTTGAACCTTGTGAACGCTATTACGCCAAAAGTTATCATCCGATCTTTCTGAAATTTATATGCATTATTTAAAATAGTGAAACAAAGAAGCCTGTTGAATTTCAGCAATTTCCGTCAATTACTTTTAGAGTTATGACCCTTGTTTCACTTTGTTGCACTTTGGGAACTCTCTAGCATTAAAAGTTATCTGCCGATCTATATGAAATTTGCATGCGCCATTTAAATTATTCAAGAGAAGAATCCTATAGAATTTCAGCAATTTCCGTTTATTACTTCAATAGTTATGTCCCTTTTTTCACTTTTTTGCATTTTGTGTACGCTCAAACCTCTAAAGTTATCAGCCAATCTGTATGAAATTTATATGTACTATATAAGTTAGTAAAAAGAACAATCCTATTGAATTTCAGCAAATTCCGTTTATCACGTCTAGAATTATGGCTTGTTTCACTTTATTGAACCTTGTGAACGCTCTAACGCCGAAAGTTATCATCCGATCTTTGTGTAATGTATATACATTATTTAAATTAGTGAAACCATGAAGCCTATTGAATTTCAGCAATTTACAATAATTGCTTCTAGAGTTATGGCCCTTGTTTCACTTTGTTCAACCTTGTTAATGCTCGATTGATGAAAGTTATCATCCGATGTGTATTAAATTTTTTATGCATCATATAAACTTGTGAAACAGAGGTCTATTGAATTTCAGCAATTTCCGTCAATAATTTCTAGAGTAATGACGATTGTGAACCTTGTGAACATTTGAATGACAAAAGTGATCATCTGATCTGTATGAAATTTATATGCATTTTTTAAATTAGTAAAACGAAAAAGCCTGTCAAATTTCAACAATTTCTGTAGATTACTTCCAGTGTTGAGACCCCTGTATGGAACTGTCTTGTAAAGGCCTCCAATTACCTACAAAGGAATAAATATGCGACAACCCTTGTCGACCACTCAAACGATTTAGCTCCTGTGGGGGAATGTTTTGTTGCTTGGAATCTTTTTCGCTTTTCATGGCCAAGTAGCATGCAAACTCTACCACTCACCTGTAATCTAATTGCAGATTCGTAATCTGCACAAAAAGATCTTTAAGACCTTTGAGCTGTATATCTTCACTAGAAAGGTAAAAACAAGATATCTGAAACTTGAGTAAATTATTGTTACATTGTTTGTTTCGAAAAGTTATCGGAAACTCAAATGCCTGTATCTCAGTCAATTTTCAAGCTACAGACCACAACTTTTGCACAGTTTCTATTTTTTACATGTACAATAACATATATTTTTCCAGATTTGGAAAATCAACCCACTCTGACATGGAATGAACCAATAGTTAACATAATTTTATTGACATTGAAAATCTCATACAGGAAATGTCCTGGTAACTTGTTTTTAAAGGTTGTTATATTTTCCAGGTTCATTATTATTTGGTCCATTAAAAGTTTTGTCCCAATATACAATTAGACCATGTAAACATAAAGAACCAGTGCCTGCTGCTCAGTGTCTTTACTCATTAATAAAACAAGGAAACAAGAAAAAATATTTTGTAGCAACTCAGGTAATACTAGTTTCTTGTAATGTGGTTCTTTTACATTTACAGTTACACCAATGTGTATACTGGACCTCTGTTTTTGTCCCCTGCCTTTCGAAGTGGACGTTAAGCCTCATTTCTCTCTCTCTCTCCCGTCTGGCTGGCCGTCCGTCCGTCTGTCTGTCCATCACACTTTTTGTGACAAAGTGATCTATACATTTCTTCAAATTGAACAATCATTTAGGCGCATAGAACTTCGTGACCTCTGCTAGTTTTGATAATATATAATATTGACATTTCACCTCTGTATAAACTTCTGTTAAGGCACAGACTTATTAAACATCTAATTAATTCAATATGTCCTTTACAAGCTACACATGATCTGTGTATAACACTCAGCAGAACTTCATGACTTCAAAAGAAATATGCAGTGCAGTTACAGATACCATAATCTGATAAATAAACAATACCATTATGACGATTCACTCTTGTCCATTTTCCCTACTTATCGTACGCTATTTAAGCAGGAGTTCACTGACAGTTAGACAGAGAGGAGCGGGAAGGAAAACAGAGGCTTGGACGAGTGTATGGACAGAGGGGCAGAATGGTGGAATTAACAGAGTTAGATGTGTTCCTGTCCTAGACTAGTTCTTATATAGTTTAAGTTCCCGTGTTGTTGTATGTATGTAACTCTAACTGTTATATGTTCCCATTGTAAATAAATCCTATATTTACTAAACTGGTCTACTGTTATCAGTACGATAGTGTTACATTTTTGGGACACAATAACTTTCCTTCTTTGAGCTAATATGTTTAAACTTGGTGTATGTGTTTATTAGATCAATGCCTTGATGGAGTTTAAAGATGAGCATTTTCTGCTTCGGGTAAGCAGAGATGAGCAATTTGATTGGATGAAGCTTTAAGACACGATAACTTTAGTTCTAATTAAGTGAGATTGATGAAACTTGGTGTATAGTTTCATTACATCAATATCTTGATTAAGATCGATAATGGGCATTTTCTGCTCAGGTTAAGTAGAGCGATAAGCAATTTGATTGGCCGAGACTTTGGAACACAACAGCTCTCTTTCTAATTGAGCTGGAGTGTTCAAACCTGGTGTAGGTGTTTATTAGGTCAATTCCTTGATGGAGTTCAAATATGAGCATTTTCTGCTTAGGGTAAGCAGAGATAAGCGATTTGATTGGTTGATGCTTTGGGACACGAAAACTTTAATTCTAATTAAGTGAGAGTGATGAAATTTGGTGTATAGTTTTATTACATCAATCTCTTGACTAAGTTCGATAATGAGCATTTTCTGCTCAGGGTAAGCAGAGCGATTTAAGCAATTTGATTGGTCGAGACTTTGGAACACAATAACTCTCTTTCAAATTTTTTTAGAATGTTCACACTGGGCATAGATGTTTATTAGGTGAATGCTATGATGGAGTTTGAAGATGCAAGTTTTCTCCTTAGGGTAAGCAGAGATAAGCAATTTGATTGGTTCATGCTTTGGGACGCAATAACTTTAGTTCAAATTAAGTGAGAGTGAGGAAACTTGGTGTTTTGTTTTATCACATCAATACCTTGACTAAGTTCGAAGAGGAGCATTCTCTGCTCAGGCTAAGAAGAGCTTTAAGCAATTTGATTGGTCAAGACTTTGGAACACAATAACTCTCCCTCTAATTGAGGTAGAATGTTCAAACTTGGTGTAGGTGTTCATTAGGTGAATGCCTTGATGGAGTTCGGTGATAAACATTGTCTGCTTACGGTAAGCAGAGATCAGCAAACTGATTGGTTGATGCTTTCGGGAATGATAACTTTGGTTATAATTAAGTGAGAGTGATGAAACTCAGAGTATAGATTTATAATATCATTACCTTGACTATGTTCAATGATGAGAATTTTCTGCTTAGGCTTCGGAGTGATAAGCAATTTGATTGGTCAATACTTTGGAACATAACATCCCTGTTTTTAATTGAGGTAGAATGTAAAAACTTGTTCAATGATTAACATTTCAAGCTAAAGCTAAGCAGATCTAAGCAATTTCATTGGTCGATGCTTTGGGACAAGATAACTTTGATTCTATCTGATAGAGAGTGATGAAACTTAGTGTATAGTTGATAATCAGTTTGATTGCTTGATACTTTTGAAAAAAATAAATGTGTGATTAATTAATATCTGTCATCTATTTATTTTTATACGCCCAAAATCACTTTTTTAGCTTGTGAACACTGTAGAGGTCACAATTTTTATCCGATTTGGTTTAAACTTGAAATGTATGTTTATAAACCACAGATTTCGGTTCAATTTGATATTCGCGCATATCGCACCATAACTTCCTGAATTATGGCCCCTAATTGTACGAAAAATCGTGTTTTTAGCTTGTGGACCCTATAGAGGTCACAATTTTTATACGATTTAAAAAAACTGTTTGAATATATCACCATTGCACCCTAAGGATGGCTGAGTTCGAATTTCGTAAAAATCAGACTGAAACTGACGGACAAAATGTTGTGGACGCTCTGGAGGTCACAATTTTTATCTCATTTTGATGAAACTTGAAATGCATGTTTGTAACCCAAATATCTTGGTTTCTGTCGATTTTTGTACATATTGAATCGTAACTTCCTCAATTATGGCCCCTGATTGTATGAAAAATCACTTTTTTAGCTTGTGGTCCCTCTAGGTCACAATTATTATCCAATTTAAAAAAAACGTTCGAATATATCACCGTTACACCATAATTATGTCTGAGTTTAAATTTCATAAATATCGGACCAAAACTGCTGGACAAAATGGCCGCCCTTCATACGCAAATAGTGTAAACATCTGGTATATCAAAGTTGTGGACCTTGAGAGGCCACAATTTTGATCCGATTTTGATGAAACTTGAAATGCAAGTTTATAACCCAAAGATCTCGGTTCCTTTCAATATTCGTGCATATCGTATTGTAACTTCCTGAATTATGGCCTCTTATTGTACGAATAATCGCGTTTTTAGCTAGAGGTCACAATTATTATCCGATTTACAAAAACATTTGAATATATCACCATTACACACCAAGATCTTGGTTCCTTTTGATAATCACGGATACCTGAACTTAACTTCCTGGATTATGGCCCCTGATTGTTCGAAAAATCACATTTTTAGCTTGCGGATTCTCTAGAGGTCACAATTTTTTCCTGATTTTAAAAAACGTTTGTCGCCCCCGTCCGTCCGGCGTCCACAATTGCTTGTGGACGCTGTAGAGGCTAAAGTTAATATCCAATTGACTTTAAATTTATATACAGTGTTTAAGGCCATGAGACGAAGAAGCCTATTGATTTTCAGTTATTTCCGATAATTACTGCCAGAGTTATAGCCCTTGATCACTTCAAAAAATCTTGTGGACGCTCTAGAGGCTAAAGTTAATATCCGATTGACTTTAAATTTATACACAGTGTTTAAGGTCATGAGACGAAGAAGCCTATTGATTTTCAACGATTTCTGATAATTACTACCAGAGTTATGGCCCTTGATCACTTCAAAAAATCTTGTGGATGCTCTAGAGGCTAAAGTTAATATCCGATTGACTTTAAATTTATACACAGTGTTTAAGGTCATGAGATGAAGAATCCTATTGATTTTCAACGATTTCTGATAATTACTACCAGAGTTATGGCCCTTGATCACTTCAAAAAATCTTGTGGATGCTCTAGAGGCCAAAGTTAATATCCGATTGACTTTAAATTTATACACGGTTATTAAGGTCATGAGGCAAAGAAGCCTATTGATTTTCAGCAAATTCCGATAATTACTGCCAGAGTTATGGCCCTTGATCACTCAAAAAAAATCTTGTGGACGCTCTAGAGGCTAAAGATAATATCCGATTGACTTTAAATTTATACACAGTGTTTAAGGTTATGAGACGAAGAAGTCTATTCATTTTCAGCGATTTTCGATAATTGCTGCCAGAGTTATGGCCCTTGATCACTTCAAAAATTCTTGTGGAAACTCTAGAGGCCAAAGTTAATATCCGATTGACTTCAGATTGATACACAGAGTTTAAGATCTTGAGACGAACAAGTATGTTGATTTTCAATGAATTTTTATTTTCAGCGATTTACGATAATTACTGTCAGAGTTATGGCCCTTGATCACTTTGAAAAATCTTGTGGACGCTCTAGAGGCTAACGTTAATATCTGATTGACTTTAAATTTATACACAGTGTTTAAGGTCATGAGACGAAGAATTCTATTCATTTTCAGCGATTTTCGATAATTTCTGCCAGAGATATGGCCCTTGATCACTTCAAAAATTCTTATGAATGCTCTAGAGGCTAAAGTTAATATCCTATTGACTTTAAATTTATACACAGTGTTTGAAGTCATGAGACGAAGAATCTTATTGATTTTCAACGATTTCCGATAATTACTGCCAAAGTTATTGCCCTTGATCACTTTGAAAAATCTTGTGACGCTCTAGAGGCTGAAGTTATTATCTGATTGACTTCCGATTGATACACAGAGTTTAAGATCTTGAGACGAACAAGTATGTTGATTTTCAATGAATTTTTATGACTTGAACAGCTAAATCCATGATATTAAAAGTTTCGTATACTAAACATTAGCATGGGGCATAACTTTATAAAAACCAAACAAATTCTAATGGTTTTCTGATAATTACTTCATGAGTTGTTACTCTTAATCAGATTTTAGTGTATTATAAATGTTTCATTACCGAAAAAAGTAAAAATATGCGACAACACTTGTTGCCTCCCCAGACGACATAGCTGCTGTGGGCGTATGTTTCGTTGCCTGGCAATCTATCTTTGTTTAGCTTGTTCTCTATCCATCTCTTTCAAAATATGGGCGTATCCTGCCTGGCAGCCGCTGGTTTATAATTCGATTTTGACCCTCTAGAGCTTACAATTTTGATCAGATTTTGATGAAACTTGAAATACAGGTTTACAACACAAAGATCTTGGTTCCTTTTCAATATTTGTGCATATCGGACCATAACTTCCTGAATTATAGCCCTGACTGTACGAAAAATCACGTTTTTAGCATGTGGTTCCTCTAAAGGTCACAATTATTATCCGATTTAAAAAAGCGTGTGAATATATCACCTTTACACTGTAATGATGGTTGAGTTCGGACCAAAACTGACAGACAAAATGGCCGCCCCTCGTACAATTTTCATCCTATTTTGATGAAACTTGAAATGCATGATTATAACCCAAAGATCTTGGTACTTTTCGATATTCGCGCATTTTGGATAGTAACTTCCTGAATTATGGCCCCTGATTGTACGAAAAATCACGTTTTTGGTTGAGGTCCCCTCTAAAGGTCACAATTTTTATCCGATTTAAAAAAACGTTATAATATATCACTGTTACACCGTAATGATGGTTGAGTTTGAAATTCATGAAAATTGGACCAAAACTGCCGGACAAAATGGACGCCCCTTGTATGCAAATAGTGTAAATATATGGTATATCAGGGTTGTAGACCCTCTAGAAGTCACAATTTTGATCCGATTTTGATGAAACTTGAAATATGGTTCCTGTCGATATTCGCGCATATCAGATCGTAACTTCCTGAATTATGGCCCTTGATTGTTCGAAAAATCGCTTTTTGTTTAGCTTGTTCTCTATCCATCTCTTGCAAAATGTGGTCGTATTCCTGCCTGGCAGCCACTGGTTTTGGATGGGGTCATGTTCCCAACTTTCTGAAATTTGGTCCACTTGACATGGAATGACCCTGCTGTTCCTTGCCAGACCCTTCATCTTCCACTACTGACAAGGAGAAACCATGCTGGAAATTTCTTATTCAATACTGGGATCGATCCGCAACCACCTGATCAGTGAACGGGTACCTAACTTACACTGAACCATGGTGACTTCTTAAAAATGATTTTATCACATTTTGCTTGATTTCTTTTACAGTTTTGGAACAGTTTTGCATTTAGAACTGTATATCTGTACTAGTTTCTTTATAAGAAGGGGCATCAAAATTCTGTTGGGTTTATTTATCAGGAGTGCCGAATGGTACCTAAATTTCATTCACCATATTAGAATGCTTGATATGATAAATACCCCCAATAGTGATTTGCTTGCAGTTCCCCCCCCCCCTCCACACACCTCCTCTGTCTACAAATTAAATTTAGTAATCCCTACCAGAATTAATGAGATGAATTAATATACATTTTTGTTTATCAACTATATGTAGAATTCATCAATTTCAGGACCCAGAGCTTTCTAAAAAGTCAAGAGATATTAAAGGAGTTCCATTATTGTATTTAGCTTTTAAGAACATTATTTTAGAACGACCATCAAATACTTCCAAAGGAATTGAAAACCCTCAAGTCAGCCAAGCTCAGAGTTTGGATCATCAGTTGAAAATTGTTCAAGATTTAAAACGAAAACTTCTTAGAGAAGAAGTTGAACCAAAAGAAAAAAAGAAAAAAAGATTCATTAAACGCAAGCCTATGAAAAAAAGAAAGGAGGGTGGTAAAAATGTTCCAAAATCTGATGGTGGTGTTAAAAGGAAGAGAAAAAATAAGATTAAAATTGCTAGTCATGTGAAAGCTGAGTGGAGAAAACATTAACAATGGGATTAATGAATAGGCCTCCTATTAAAATGACTAAACAAAAATATATTAAAAATAAGACAAATATGAATTAAGACATGAATTATTTTGTGTAAATCAATAAATTTTACATTCAGTTATTTAAAGAAGTCTTTTTCCTTAGTTCTTTGTGCCAGAGTTTGTTACAAAATTTTCAAAACATAAAATGAAAACCCACCACGATAACTGTAAAAGCCCAACTGTTAGTTCTAGATTAATTTGCACCTAAATGTACATGTAGGGAGAGCGAGAAATGGGTTTAACATCCATTTGATACAAATTTTTCAATTTTATTTCAATAATTCGCTTGTGTGTGGGGAGGAAACAGGAGGACCCATTGAAAACCCATGTGGTTCGATCGGCGACCCTACATCCTGCCTTATCATGCGCAACTGGGGAATCAAAACCATGCCAGTTGACTCAATGACAGACCTTATGATACAGAGTGTATGTGCCAAACATTCAGCCATCCAACACACCTGTACGTGTAGGAATATAATAACTTTTTTCTTAGATCTTACTGGAGTTATTTATGCTTCTAGTTATAAAACATCTCAAAGCCTTATATAAAAATGTAGTTTGGTGTACACTGTGCTGTACTTCCTCAGGTGACCACATTCAGCATATATGGAAAATCTGGATTTACTTTCTCGGCCAATGCAGGGATCGAACACCCGACCTCCTGGCTAGCGAGCCAGCGTCTTACCCACTTAGCCATTGTGATCCCCCATTGAAGAACACAAGCATCGCTAACACTGCAATATACATCCACATTCCTGCTTTGATTAATATGGTACTTTTTAAAATGAAGAGAATGAAATATGAAATGGCTGTAATATGACAAGATGCAAAGAAGGCTAGGCATTGGGTTTGTTTTGGCAAATTTACAGAGAAAATGTTAACAAAAAAGTGGGTGTGACACTCCCCTAGATGGTCGGGGCATGCACCAAAATAAATAGCTGCTGTCTTTACGGTATAAGGAATAAATATGGAAAGTTCCAAGATGATCCATTCAGAATTGCAGCCTGTAGACAATAAATACAAAAACTGGGTGTGGCTTTGCTCTGGGGGTTGGGCAATCGCCAAAAACAATAGGGGTCATCCTTAGGGTATAAGGAATAGGTTAAGAATTGTTGCCTGTAGATGAAACACAAACATTGGGCGTGTCTCTCTGTCCCAGGGAAACGAGCATGCACCAAAAATAATAGAGGTCAGCCTTAGGGTATAAGGAATAAGTATAAAAAACTTTTCAAGACGACCGATTAAACATTGCGGGCTTTAAGTGACACACAGACACCCCCCAAAAAAGAAATTGGGCGTGGCTCTGCCCCCTGGGGGTTGGGCATTCACCACAAACAATTGGGATGTTCCTTACATTAGGATAGAAGGAATAAGTATGCAAAGTTCCAAGGTGATACGTTAAGAAATGCGGTCTGTAGATGACAAATAAATACAAGAAAAGGGCGTGACTCTGCCACTGAGGGGTCAGACATGCACCAAAAACAAATAGATCATCCTTAGGGTATAAAGAATTCATATGAATAGTTTTCAAGACGATCGATTAAGAATTGTGACACACAAAAAGAAAATGGGCGTGGCTCTGCCCCTGGGGGGGTGGCCATGCACACCAAACGATAGGGATGTTCCTTAGGGCAGAATAAGTATGCAAAGTTTCAAGATGATACGTTAAGAAATGCGGCCTGTAGACGACAAAAAAAACAAATACAAGAAATGAGCGTGGCTCTGCACCTGGGGTCGGCCATGCACCAAAAACAATAGGGATCATCCTTAAGGTATAAGGAATAACTATACAAAGTTTGAAGAAAATCCAGTAAGAATTGCGCCCACATACATATACACACACACACACAGACGATGGCATAATACGTCCACATTATGAAAGAACAGTTCACATTTTAGACGGGGGTCACGTGGCTAAGTGGGTAAAACGCTGGTTCGCTAGCCTGGAGGTCGGGTGTTCGATCCCTGCATCGGCCGAGAAAGTTCATCCAGATTTTCCGACGTGGTTCCCCCTTGTCAGTGATGCAGGACGGAGGGCCTGCCAAGGACAGCTGTCTAGTCCTTCAGATGAGACGAAAAACCGAGGTCCCGTGTATATATTGGAATGCACGTAAAAGATCCCCTGGCAGTTGGAATTCGATATAAAAGTAGGCGATAGTGCCGCTGCCCGGGCAAAATTTCCCTCATAGCACACTGTATGGCGTATGCCCGTCTTCATTAGCCCAGTATAGGAGCAGAACAGTAGGGCGTTAAACCCCATTTCATTTCATTTCACCTTTTAGTCAAAAACCATTGTCGAACATCAGATAATATCAACTATCAACCCATGCCGAGAATTTTTGAGATGATTTCTCCTGAATTTTCTACATACTTAGGGAAGAAACTTTGAAGCCCCTAATAAATTCCTCAGGGAAACGGAGGCCTATAAGATATTAGTATTGCATCTGTTTGTGTTAATACTGTTAAGGCGAAATTAACATCTTTTAAAAATATTCAGACACATTCTTTTTCACACTGATCCGCAGTGAATATTTGCTTGGCCGCGACAATCACTGATAAGGATGACATTGATGCGGCTTAATGAGCTAGAAATATTAACTTTTTTCCTGCGACAAATTAAATTCTAAAACATTTTTTGTATATATTGGAAAAATAAATAAAGACGTTTGACGTATTTGTAGTTAAAAATTATTTTCGATTTAGTGTAAATGGGTATTAAAATGACTAAAATGCAGCATTCTCTCCGAAGCAGTTATGTCTTATGTAAACAATGCACGCGCCATTCAGCCAATGATTCACACCGCGTGCTGTGACAGCACGTGTTAAGGCAGTCATCTATGACAGAGATATTATACGAGACTCGTAATTCTCTGTGAAACAGATTGATTCTTTTTATCTTGGTAATAATTATGCCCTCAAATATGCAGAAATAGTGACTGTTTTTGCTTCCCCCCGAGAACCCTTGTTAATACACTAGGCACTCACAAGCCGCGGAGTTATCGTCCTCAGGCGGTACTGATATTAATTTGTGCGGAAACTACGCTGCTTCAGGTGAATAAGGCACAGACTCTCTAACCGGGTCTCGATGTTGGCCAGTTAATATCTGGCGCGCGCCAAATATTTTTTGGGAATTTTCCACCATCAGACAGGTGGGGTTTAACGTCTACTCGACACAAACTAGGTCATTTCGGGGCTAACATATGCTTACATTTTATTTTAATAATTCTCTTGTGTTGTGCGAAGGGGTAATTAGCAGTAGGAGGAAACCAGAACACCCGAAAGAAAACGGTTGAACAGGCGACTCGACCCTCCGTGGTTCAGTTAATAAGTCGTTGGCCTGCTATCTAGGTGGTCCCGTGTTCCATCCCCGCGTTGGCCGAGAAAGTTCCTCGGGATTTTCCGGCGTGGTTCCTCCTTGTCAATCAATGGTGCAGGAGGAACGACGCTGGAAAATGCCGATGAACTTTCTCGGCCAAAGCAGTGATGGAACAAGGGGTCTCCTGGATAGCGAGCCTACGGTCAACGTACAGTAGTTGGGATGGGACGAAATACCGAGGTCTGGTGTCCACATTGGCATGCACGTAAATGATCCCCTGGCATTTGGAATTCGATATAAGAGTAAGCCGTAGTACCGCTGCCCAGGCAAACTTTTCCTCATAGTACGCACTATATATGGCGTATGCCCGTCTTGATTAGTCCAGTAGGAGCAGAACAGTAGGACTTTAAACCCCATTTCATTCTATTTCTTATTGGAAATTATCCGGCGCGCGCCGGTTATTATTATTAGATTTTTTTTTTTTGCGTCCCTTACCGGGCTCCGTAAAACACAGAGTTTACTCTGTGATATAAACCATTTCTTATTACCCGTAGCATGCCAACACCCACCTTACATTAAAGACACTAACGATTTTATTTACAAAATAAAACAGTTAAGAGTCCCTGGGCACACCATTTTGATATCCATCAACGTACAGAGCATGTACACGAACATCGATAATACTATAATGGTGTGCTAATCTGCCAATCGCTAATATAATTAATGTTTCTTAAATTAACCACTTTAAGATCAACTGGCTAGCAAGTCGTTAACCTGTCACCACTTTTCAAGCCGTCATTAATCCCACCTATTGTTTTTGTTGATTTTTTATATTGTTTAACAGTTTATGCATTGTTCATCTATCGACATGTCAGTTTTAATTACAACATTTGCTTTTATCCTATTATCTGATTTTCCTTAAATATAACAACATTTGTACATAAAGGCAGTGACTAGTTAGGATCCTTTGCTAAGTGCAGTAACTGGCCTGTCAGTACTGTATGACGATATATATATATATATATTTACGTTCCGGTATATTAAAGAATTGAAGAATCATTCGAAGTTTGTTACATCCGAAGAGAGAATTTACACCTCTAAAATACCACAGGAGTTGGAGCAGCTAGGAAAGTATTTCTTAGGAACTCGCAAGCATCCAGACCGGACGAAGGAATCCTCAAATTACTCGACATTAATTTGTCTGAGGAGGAATGATTTCGCTCTCAACGACCAAGTATACCTCCAGTCTTCCGGAACTCCGATGGGAAAACGATTTTCCCCGAGCTATGAAAATCTCTTCATGGCGGTGTGGGAAAGGGGGGTTCTGCCAGTTTGCCCATTAAAACCAGATTTCTATGGACGTTTTCATAGTCTGGACGTAGCCTACGCACTAGACGAATTTTGGACATTTTCCAACATTCTGAACAATCAGCATCCATCTGTCAATATTCCCCATGATTTAGCATTAGAAAAACTTAAGATACGATTAGACAACCTGCCCGAACAGCTCGACAGCACACTCGATCACTAACGACAACTTAATAGACCTCACCAAAACATGTATTCAAGCAACCTATTTCACCTGGGGGATGCTTTTTATCAACAAATTCATGGTCTGCCAATGGGGAGCCCGTTATCACCTCTACTAACTGCAATTTTTATGACCGCGTTTGAAGAGAAAGCCCTGGCAATATCACCTGTTAAACCCATATATAGCCTATTTCCGTAGAGTTGATGATACGTTTGTCATATTAAACAGTATAGATGAACATA